GAGCTTTAGTTTAATATTCAATAATCTTTTTGGAGTTTAAAATAATGCCTAATTTCCAAAAGTGTTATAATTAAACAGCTCTTCCTGGACCCTGTTTTTTTCCCACTCAAGATTCAATTGGAAGAATGCTCACTGCAGTGTCAGCAAGTGTTCATACAATGAGATTAGGATAATTATATTTTTGCCTGTTTGGGATTTTTGGAAATGGTTGACCTGGCAGAGTAATCAGCTCTGTATTTGGTATTTATCTCCTAATGATATTGTTCATGTGTTTTTTGCTGCTCTGGTTTGTGTAAACAACTCTACATCAACTGAAACAGTGCCTCATTGAACCTACTGCATATTCAGACAGGCCAGTAATTTCGGCGGATGTTTAATTTGATATTTAGCAAGTCGTGTCTTGTCGCATGTGCACAGTATTGCCATCACACATCCACAGAATACAGTTATCCTGCGCGCACACACACACACACACACACACACACACACACACACACACACACACCTCCACCTTTAAACGAAGTGATGCAGCACCCTGATAATATGCCAGGAAGCCTCGTCTTGTCAGGTGATGGCAGCCATGCCGGACACTCAGCACTATTAAAGCTTTGGCAGCTGTCCAGTGAGCCAGTTAGTGTGACCCTTTCCATCAGCATGGAGGTATTAGTTTTGGGGCAGGAGGGGAAAGTGTGCAGTGGGACTGAAAACTAACTGTTGTGCAATTCTCAGGTAATCCAACCAGAAAATCCTGTTGAGTCCTTTAAAAGGCAAATTTTATAGGCTGCAGATAGTTGTAATCCTCTTGTCTAAGTGCCTGTAAAACAGTAACAGTAAGACTAAGAGCCTAATCAGGAGACCAGATTTACAGATGGAGCCACAGGTACATCTACTGGTTCAAGAAATGGTCCTTCAGATGGATTATGCTTGTTCTTGTACTGTCTCAGTGAGTACTTGTCCTAAGCAAGTGTCCATCCGGCTAGTAGCTACTAGCAGTATACTGTACAGGCTCTACTAGCTAAACGGCAACCATACATTGTGGCAGTGGACTTGACGCATTTAGCAATTAAAGCTCAGTGTTAGTCTGGTTTCTCTGGTTGTTTCTCAGTTTCTCATCCACTATTACTATACATGTTTTTTTTTTTTTTTTTTTTTGCTCTGTTTGATTAACATCACCTTTCCCATTCTTCATAAACTTTCATTTAATATAATATAGTTACTAGATCTAACGTTATGGATTAATGGCAAGCATAGCCACTCACTTTTTAACGAAATATCATTGGCATCTTTCTTACCTCATATTGTGTCTTGTATGTATTACTGCAATGTTCACAGACATCCTGTTGACGTTCTTCTAAAAACGGACCATTTTTTCTTTAAAAACCCTTTGATGAGGTGTCATGGGTTGAGCTCCTTTCATTATAGACTTTTGTTGCCTTTTGAAAAACCCAATAACGAGACACCTTGGAGATGATCAAACATGCCCATCTAATGGGCGTCTCATTGTGTGAACCTCATGTTGTACTTGCTCACTTGCCTTCATGGTCCCAAAGCAGGCTCTCATTTATAGGTTATTCATTCAGAATTTGAACAGAGTTGGCTAATTAGTCAAGCTAGTGATCACACCCCTGGAACCAAAAGTCTATTTAGACATTCACCATATCGAGAAGCAATGATGCATCTGATTATGTAGTCCGTACAGAATGAGGCATTACTGGCTTGTAAACAGCAATGGAGCCCACTTAGTCATGCTGATGATGATGGCCCTGTCTCAACAGGAAACTAGTGAAATGGACCTTAATTAAAATGAATTATGATGTCTGCAGGGGGCCCTGAGTGATCTAAAGTGCACAATATGCCACTCCTAATTTTAATTTTTGCTTTGAGATATTATCTGAGGAGTTGATTATAGAGACCCATTTTTCCTTTCATCTTCCTAGCTATTAATCCAGGATTGTTTTTTTTTATGGTGTTGGGGGTTTGCTGCTTAGCTTGAGGCTCAATTGCCAGTGGTTGGAGGTGCTGGAGTGGCATCACTAGTCATCATGTGCCCTGTCGCCTGAGACCATATTGGCAGCTATGCATTAAATTGCTAATGTGCCTGGCAGAGCTACATTATCCGCCCCATCAAAGTGACAAGGGCAGGGATAAAGCACTCTGCTTGGCTGTCCATGAGATCATTGGAAAATGGGTTTTGTGGATAAGGCTTGGCAGCGTGCAGAGTTGTCTTTTAGAATGTTTTCTTTGAATTTGCTTTGTTTCTGCCTCGCTGATTTGACAGCTGCAGAACAATGAGGCAGAAGTGGCTGGCCAGTTCCACCTGCATAGGAAGTCCCACTGTGGTAGAGCTCTCTCACACCTGGCTGCCTCTGTGGCTTTACACTTTTTAACATTGTGGTTCCTTGCACACCTCATTATTTAAGGAAATAGACTCACACGTTGAAAGAAGAAAACTATTGTCTGGGCTGCTGTCTGATTGTGAAAGAGCAGTTTGATTGGCTATGCAAGTTATATGAAGACAATTAAGTTGTGGTGGACATGAATGAATCTTAAGTGGTTTATTTAATTTAAGATGGCTTTTGTTATCTGTTTCTAAAACTGAGATGCAAGTATATTTATATCTGTGTGACTCCTGTGTTCCAGCTGGACAGTTCAGACAAGATCATTTTAAGCGGCACAGTGCCTGTTATAGTCTTCTATTTTTTTCCCAAGTTTTAATCCAAGGCATAGAGACTGATGAAACGATGCAGGGCTCAAACATCGTGATGACTGTCAGCCATTGGCGATGGACGATGGCTGAATTTGGGGATGAAAAAGTTGGAAATGATCATGATCGTGGAGTGTGTTATAGGGAAACTGGGTCTTTTTAAAAATGAAAAATGGTGCTCAAGATGAATACAAAAGACAAGCTCTCATTATTGGCTTTGAAATGACTGGCAGCCATGTGCTGCCCAGAAACAAGAACCAAGATGGGAGGCCCTGCATGAAGGAAGAGAGTTCCGGTTTCAGGTGCGATGTGGAGGCGGTAGAAAACCAGCCACCTTGTGATGATTAATGAGCTGCAGCTCATGCCAGCAATTTTAAACACACCATCCTGATCATGAGTGTAAGTGGCCCACACTAGCAGCTTTGTGACGAGTCTGCTGCTGCCTCTCCTCCAGTCCGACTTACTCACACACACGCACACACAGGGAACCATAAACTGAAAAAGTGCCTGCTGAATCTCAAACTGTGTAGTAGATGGAGGTGAGGAAATGCTGTTGATTTGGTTTGGGGCTGTTGACAGACTTGTGCTGTCTTTTGAGGCCACACATTTTTTCTGCTCATATGACTGTGTTGACACTTATTTTCCGGCCATAATGAACATACCAGTAGCCTTAATCACCGCAATGTTAGTAAAATTTATTTTATTAACAGGTTATGTGTTGGTTTCATTTTACTGTTTGTATTTTAGGGTAGTAGAGATTTAAATGAAATTTATGAAATTTGGAGGAATGTTACACCAATACCGCGGAGGAGAACTGATCAATTTTCCGTGCAGATCTAAATTCTGATTCGAATACAGTATGTTTTGTTTAATAATTTAAGGTATTTTTTCAAAATGTAAAACTTGTTCAAAATTTTTATAATAATTACTGCAAGTTCAAAAATGAAAATACCTGCCACTTGTATATTTGTATGATGGTCTGTCTTTGATGCAGATCCAGATTAGATGCAGATAAAAATGTCTAAATATCAAAATACCAAACTTAGACTCAGTGGACCGACAAGATGATGTGAGCAAGTCAGAGGCAGCATTGGCCTTTATACACAGTGCTGTTATAAATACTGTTATTACACTGTAAACTTAGGCAGGCACGTGTATGATTTGAAGATGTACATAAATGCAAATTCACAGCATCAGCATACTGAGACTCTTCAGCCTGCTGTTACTGCAGCACAACAGCCGTGCATGTAAATTCAGTCTTGGGGAAAGCAGTTGGAGTGCAGATAAGATAAACACAAAACTGAAGATTAAAACTGAATCTCATGTGTATATATGGCTTTATACTGTTTGGTACCATCTTAAGCTTGTCATAGTAACTTTACCTTTTGTTGGTTGACAATATTGTTATACTTGATGTAATATGAATCAAAGAACCTCTCCAAAGAGCTGATCAGTCACAGATGAGGTTATTTCGGTATACTGTTCATCACTATTAGAGACAACCAGAACAGGTAATTATCCTCTAGCAAACTGCTCTGCCTTGCTATAGGTTCTCCATACATAAAGTGCCTTATATTAGTTACATGGGCCTCTGAACATATGACAAAACAGCCCACATTAATGAGCTGTGTAACGAAGAAGGTGCCTCTGAAAATTTACTGAACGCTTGCTTCTTCTGCCTCTCTGGCAGCAGTCCTCTCAACACTGTCAGCTCTTTCGTTCTGCTGCTTGACAGTGCTCCAACCCCCTCGGCTTAGCTCAGCTACAGTGTGAATCAAGGCCTGTTTGCAGTGATATTGCTTATATTTATTCTTAGGGAGGTTTTTTTTTTTTTTTTGGTCGTTATTTCTCTGTCTCAACACCAGACCCATTTTATGTCTTTCTCACCTCAGCACATGCCAGTGGTTTACAGTTGGAATTATCTGTACAATAAGGGTTCTGAAAAAAAAATGCCACATTATGTGTTAGAGCCCTTCAACTTTTCATTTTTAACTGAGGGCTAACCTGAGAGATGTGGGCATCAACACAAAGGCTAACACAGGGAATAGAGGCTCTATCTTCCCTATTCTAAAAGGCAAATTCTCTGTAATTTTGCCATTCTTCTGGTGTTCTGGAAATCTGGAAATAAAATAACCTATTCTTCCCTAGGGTTAAGTGTTTTTTTTTCTCTGTCACTAGCTATAACATTTTAGCAAAATATGCTCTATAAATTGGATTAGATGTTCTTCTCTGTGTGTGCTTATTATTTCACCATATACTCAACCATCCCTCTTCTCTCTTTCTTCTGTTGCTTAAGGTTCAACTATAGATCAACACATCATCTCACCACAAATGGCTTCTACGAGTTCCTCAACTGGTTTGATGAAAGGGCCTGGTACCCATTGGGAAGGATTGTTGGTGGCACAGTAAGTTTTTCCACATTCATTTGTTTCATTGTTCATCATCTCCAGGGTGTCGTTTTAGGAACGGAGATTTACATACAGACATTGATCTTGTGAAGTAAGTAAGAAGGAGAATAAATGAGATACTCATAAAGTTTGAATAGGCTGACAGGAGCACGCACAGAAATGTAAGTGATGGTTTGTAAAAAATAAATAAATAAAATATAATATGGAGAAGAGATGTGCACTTGGGGTATCGCACTGCCTGGCCTGTCCCGGAGGGCTCGTGCAGGGGAGCTGAGAAAGAGGCTCCAGCTGACTGATGAACCTCCGATTGAGGAGGAGCAGTACAGCTTCCCGGACAGTGTCTCACTGGGTCTCTTGTGGTGGAGCACTTTGGGAATATGAAATGCTGAGGCCGCTGTGTATGTATTCATAGCTGTAAGTCAAAAATATTTGAATACATTGGACTTCACCATTGTTTTTCCCTGATGATTTTCATGATACAATCCAAAGTAACAGTGGAGGTGTAGAGTTTCCTATTTGTTCATCTCAGGATTGCATTGCTCCTTTTTGCTGATGATGTACAGTTGTTAGCTTAATCAGACTCTGACCTCCAGTGTGAACTATCTTCTCTTGCATCATACTATGAAGTGGTTGGGATGAGAGTCAGCTATTCTGACAGATTAACCCTTCAGCCTGAGATTAACGGGCGAGTGCTAGTAATTATGAATATGAAGGGAGCTAAGCCTAAAGACAAAGATGATTAATAACCTGAAAAAATAATAATCTAATCTAATATTGTCTTTTCCTATACAATTTTTTGTCCTATAGCTCTTTTATTTCTCAACCTCAACGAGTAGTGTCTCCACATAGATTGTACACAGACAAGAGATGGCCACAGAGACGGCAAGAGGTGAGGAGAGGGAGGTCGAGCGGCTATGGGAGCCAGGAAGTAGAAAAACAACTTTTTCTCTGGAAAACATATATGTTTTTTCAGTGGCAGCAAGGCTGGAAATAGGAGGGATTACACATGCTTTGGGATCCCTCAGGGGTAGCTGGCTGGGGAAAAGGAAGTCTGGAGTTCCTTGACATTGTGACTCTGACCTGGTTGGGAAAAAAAAGGATGGATGGAAGAAGTTTTATATTTATCTCCATGGCAGAAATTTGCCAAATCTGTAGTCTCAATTCCTTTTATATTTGAGAATAATCAGAGCAGCCTTACCATGCTGGCTGCAGTCAGCACATCACTAAGTACAGTCAGGCATCAAATTATGCTTTAAATCATACTTAATCCTATTAAGTTACCTACCTGGTCCAGACCCAGAGAATCAAACAATATCTGTATGTAGGCATTTGTATGGTGTACATAATTGACCAGAAAATCATCATGGAAAAGAATCTCTATACCTACTGTTTATATTGATCAGAACATGGGGATTATTCATAGATATTGATGTGTAATCAGTATTTTTGTGCTCATCAGTGGATAATGCAAGAAAATTCAAAGTAGATCTTAAGTTTGTTATGTGTATCTTCAGCACTGATCGTGTGTAGTGTGGTAGCATGGGGTTATCTGGGGTTAGGCACAGCAGTGCAGGGATACCATAGAATCCTCTAAGCCTCCGCTGGGCAGCATGGATTTAAGTTACAATCCAGTAGCAACAGTGAGCTGTTAACTTGACAGATTCCTCTCGACTGCCACGGACTCCCTGTTTACCAGCAGCAACGATTGTTGTGAATCATTGACCCTTTTCTGTGAAAAATACAACGTGCCGATTCCACGCAATTTATCTCCCATTTCCCTGCCTCACCTCCTCTGTGCATCTCTTCCCCCCAACCTCATCTTCTCAGCCCTGCATCGTGAGCAGTGAGGCCTGTGTGAGTAAAATACCTCTGGCCTATCCATCTCCCTCTTCTCTTTAACAACCACACCTGCCTTCTTTTCTCTCAACCAAGCTTCACAGACCCACCAGGGCTGCACTCTGAGCAATAATTGCACTAGCTAATGATGCATCAGGACTACATAATCCAGGTCCTCTGTGCCAGATAAATGTGGAAATGTTTCCCAACATGTTTCCATTATTGGGTCCAGCTGAGAGGGTGGGATAGAGTTTGGCACTTGATGCCTGTAGCATGACTTCTTTCTCTCTCCTTGTTTCTGTGTTGTGTAAACTCAGGCTGCAGGCTGATTTGAGAGTTCCTCTGCACAGTTGAGACAGCAAGGCATGTTAATGCTGTGCATTGGTATCAGATGTGGTTTTCATTACAGCACCAAGCAGATGGTGCAGGGTCGGAGATGTAGCTACGCTACATGCTGATGTTTGAATACAGTATTCACTGCTGAACAGGAGACCCAAGGCATTGGAATCCAAAACCCATCCATCAGCATTCATCCGTCATAAGCAATTATCATCAGCTACTGGTAATTGCATATGACAAGGCTGGCTTATAATAATGGATGTGCTGGTTCTGTTACAGTGCATGGATACTTGGGTTAGGCCTTGTACCCACAGGGTGGGAGCTGAAAGTTATGATTAGAATGGTAATCAGAATTGGAAGGCGTACGGTTTTAAGTTAATTTTCATGACATTTGCAAGATTCCTGGGCTGCACAACACATGTCATCTGCATACAAATAAGCACACACAGCTCACATCCTTCCTCTGGAAATCTGTATTGGCAATTCATGAACGTATGAGTAAAAAACAACAAATGATTGCAGAGTACTTTACACATGGTTCATGCGAAGCAGATGATAATGAGCTGTGCAGATCTCTTTTTAAGCCTGTGAAGATTCAGTCATCCTGGTCACAAAGATTGAAAATAATTTTGCATGAGAGATGAAACATCTTCAAGATGCAAGTCCAGGTGCTTTTTGTATAGAAATTTAGATAGCTCTTCTAAGCTCAAATTTAGTTCTACTTAAAAGTTAAAAAGTTAATTTAATTTTCCAGTTGAGTGTTACTTTAAATATTTTAAAATTGCTCAGCGGACTACCCTCAGGTTAGACCAATATGCAAATAAAAGCCATATGAGAGCTTACACTGTGCCACAGCTTGGGTTTTGTAGTAGATAGGAAGAAAAATAGGTGCTGTGGTGAGAGTCAGTGTAGTGTATTATGTTTCTTCCTAGCAGAACTGGTTTCTATCTGTTGATTGTTTCCCTCTATGAACAGTAACTCTGTTGCGCTGAACATCCACTATCTGCCATAAGGTCTAACATTTTTTTTTCAGAATTTTTATGGTCCTCTCATTAAAGACTGAAACGTTGCTTTGATCCCAGAGAGCTTTATTAGGCAGAAAACAGTTCAATACTATACTTTTTTATGAAAAACACACAATTAAACAATATACAATTTCTAAAATATGCCTTTTAAACCAGACATACATTAAAGTAAAAGTACATATGATGTCTAGCCAGTGTGGTTTCTGTTGTCCTTGTCTTGGAAGTGTTAAACTGAGCAGTTACAAAGGGTGTGAGTGGAGCAATTTCAGTGGGTATAATTTGTGGAGTGATTCTCTTGGCCACGGTATGTCTTGCACTGTCTCTTAGCAATTACAAAGCAATTATGGAGGTCATGTTGTCCTTGCAACATGTGTTATTATTTTGAGCAGTGTCAGCGGATGAATGTTTCCACACCAGTGCCACCAAGACAAGTAACTCTACATCGATTTTATTTGACATTTTAGAAAAATGTCTGATTCTGGATGCTGAAGGATGATACTGTTGGGATACGTTCGATTCAGCGGACGCACAGTCTACTGGAACAAATGATTTGTGTTACGTGTCACTTAACTGAAGTAATTCAACTGTCCCAAAGAAAGATGCACTGCGGCAGAATGGCTGTGGTGTCAGACTGGGAAGGTGTCGACAAAGGTTAAGTCAGGGGATATTTTTTTTCTTTTTTTTTTTTCTTGTCAATATATCCCACGATAAGCCAAAATGAACAGTGAATTTAAGTCGGGTATTGTGTGTGTAAGCTCATTTCTCTGTGCCATAGATCTCCTTTATTGTACAGAAACTATTATAACATGTCAATGAACCCCACCATTGTAATGAGTGACCTTTCTCATCATGACCATGAGCATTGTGGTTAATTTTGAGTCAATCTCAAATGTCTTTCAGTTGTAAATATTCCAAATGTGTATTGAAAGCAGCAGAAAATAGTCCTTAATAAATGAACTATTTACTCCCATTTGAGTAACGTTTGCTAAAAACCACAGTGCTCAGCTGTTTTGGGAAACTACTGTGGCTTTTTAAAAGTGAAACTATATATTTATGACAGTTTTTTAAGATTTATATCCTAAATAGCAACAAATGGGCTCGAGGCTGACAGCCACAGAAAGGGTAGGGAAGTCAAAGTATCGAAAGCCAGACTAATGCATTGTTGTTTTGGACTTTTTATGGGATTAGCTGACAACAAGAAAAATATAGAATCTCGCGACTCTTAGCCTTTTAGAGGATAGGTTTGCTGTAGCCCACAGTGGACTTGGAAAAAGTTTAGTGCCAGATGGAAAGTCACTTTATGCCGTATGAGGTTGACTGGCCTTTGATTAGCAGGTGGGTGGGTCATTCTGTTGGCCATACTGAATGCAAATGTCTCCCTATAACATTCAAATCTATGCAAAATAGAGAAGGATCCAGGAACTGATGCATAGAGGAGATCTGACTGAGCTACTGCAGAGGCTCACTGATGGATTCATGTCAGTTCCAGGCTTTTACCTGATGTATCATTCGATGACAGGCTTGGGTGAGACAGATTGCCAGAACAATTCGATGCCTTGCTCAGAGGCGCCATGATGGCATTTCTGAAGTAACAGAAAGCCACTCGCCTATTTAAAGTGTAGGCTAATAGTCAAAGTTCCACTTGTTTGCATGACTGAGCTAGACAATTTTCTAAGCATAAACGGGCTTTAGGGAAGAAGGGCATTTAGCTGACTCCCACACTGCATTCGAAATCATAAAATGAATGTGTGAGAGCTCTCTTTTGCATCAAGCCTATGCTTTTAAAACATGCAGGGATGTGGACAAGTGCTGAGTTCATTTCAGATTGACGCAGTGTGTTTCACGGCCCGTAATCCAGTCGCAACCCAAGGCCTTTGTTTAGAAAACTTCAAATAATTAATGAATTACAAACTCCTGTTCCCTTTTTGTTTTTACCTGTCTTGACATTTTACCAGTGTCAGTCTCCTTTTTTTCATGCTGTGTGGTCTGTGACCCCTCCAGCTGCAGGTGGAATTCATAAAACCACCTTTGCTCTATGTGAGAGCAGTGACCAAGACTCTTGTCTGTTACATTCAACCTTTTTACCCGCCTGCACTTTGTTTAACACCGCCTTTCTCTCGTCTCTCTATCTTTCATCGTCTCTCCTCTATTCTGTGTCTCTGCCTTTCTCTAATGCCTCGCTGTTGTTTCTCACCTTTATTCCTCCTTTATCCTTACCGCCACCCCCCTTTTTTTATTCACAATCATGCTGTCAGTCCTCATTAATTGTGTATGATAGCATTAAGTCTCTAAGCGCTCAGATGGGTCACACCATTCGGAAGACAGATGAGCCGATATCAGTTAATGTGACAGTTGAGTGCCTTTCTGCCTGGACCAGTCCAGCTGCCCTCTGCCTTTTTATTTCCCTTTTCCTCCATCCTCCCTCCGTCAGAGGACAACTGTCCACTGCTCTTTCTCCTGAGCCATAGATAAGGAAGGAAGGCTTCACTAACGTGACTTATCAACGTAGAATAATGTTGATAAGTTTTGTACGTAGATTTGTATCTATCAAGCCAAAACTCAATGCAAAATGGACTTTTCTATGATGAATAATCTCAATCGTCTCTCTAACATTTTGGTGACCGTGGCCCTACCACCAATTTCAAAATGGCTAATAATTACAAGAGTGGTTTTATAAATGGCAGGATACTGCTCCATTAGACTGAGTCCAATCCTCAGAGCCAAGAGGCAAGACATGGTTGATTTTCATTGAAGTAGATTGGGTGAAGAAGCTCAGGTCTCCTAGGCACTGGCTAATTAGAGATGCGAAGACCTGAGTTTATTAACGGCAAGGCAAAGTGCGTGGACTGCGGCAACACATCAGGGACATCACTCACACGTTAACATAGCCTTGCTTTTTACCTCAGACAGCCAGTGTACTCCACATGGCCCTAATTGGATCCGCTCTCATGTATAGGCGAGACAGGGCCACGAGGCATCACCTGCTCAGACCCCATCTTCAACTGAGTGGAGGGTTTAATTAATTATAACTTCATGTTGAAGAATACCATACCTGACAACAGTTTTTTTTATAATGGATTCATCCATTACGCAAGCAAAAGATGCCAAATGTACCAGTTCTGGATTCTAAAATTCGAGTATTTGCTTTTCATAAAATGTATTGTAGTGTGATTTAGTACTTGGTTGTGCCACTAGGTAGTGCCTGTTACTGCTTAATGAGATGCAGGTAGACGTAAAGTCATGGCATTCTGTGCCCACTGTGGCCCCCGTGTTGATGAACACCAACCAACTACACCGACAAATTGACCAACAGACCGACATTCCATCCACAGACCCGTGTTCCTATCATGGCTGAAAATAGCTCCACCTTTTTCCTCTTGCTACCTTTTCGTGGTACACTGTCTGTGTCCCTCACCCACCATTGTTCTTGTCCGACATGCAATCTCTCCCACTTTCAGGTTCCCCTTACTTCCAGTCACAACCTCTCTCTCTTCTGCCCTCTCTCAGGTATACCCAGGGTTAATGGTGACTGCGGGCCTCATCCACTACGTGCTCAACCTGCTCCACATTACTGTCCACATCCGTGATGTGTGTGTCTTTCTGGCACCGGTGTTCAGCGGTCTGACCGCCATCTCCACCTTCCTGCTGACAAGGGAGCTGTGGAACCAGGGTGCAGGTCTGCTGGCGGCCTGCTTCATTGCCATCGTCCCTGGCTATATCTCCCGCTCTGTCGCAGGCTCTTTCGACAATGAGGGCATCGCCATCTTCGCCCTCCAGTTCACTTACTACCTCTGGGTACGTACACTTCTCACTTGATGGAAAGGTGCAATAAGGAAGAATCTTACTGTGCATGGAAATGTAATATAGGCAAATGTAATTGCACTGTGAATGTAGACCCCTCATACTATGTTTTGTTGCCATTATATTGAAGTGACAGTTTAAACGTCTTTGTAATGAATCAGAATAACGATCATGGTCACTCAGGTTTTAAATCTGCTTTAGCTGAAAAAAAAAAAAAAAAGTCAAACTCTCAGCCTCAGTCAAGCATGCAGAGTCCTTTGTTACTTTACAGGGGACATGCTTCATGAAGCTAGAAAAGTAGTCCTGTTTTCAAATGTTACTGGGCCTTGGATGTTGAATTATTTATCCAGAGCTTTGAAAGGCACACCAACCATGTGGAGCCCAGGAAACGGCATGCTGCACTCTGAAAACTTCACAATAAGATGACCTTTAAGAATACACTACAGGGCAACTGACCTTGGCAAATTTGCAGCATCACTGTTTTCACCAAGTTCAGATTTATTTTGTTTGTTAGAATTTTTCTTTTCCTTCCCTGCTTAAAACATAATTTGTCCAGTTCAACCTTGTTCAACAAAGTCATTCACTTGAGGAGAAAAGGTTATTTTTGAATATTGCTTGGATGTTTGCAGGAACGACTTGTGCTAAGAATTTTTTGAAATGGTCTTGGTAGAAAGAAGCGGCTTTTCAAGCTAAAAGATGTCTGAAACAGACTTTTCACTTTACCTCAGTCTGTCCACTCTTCTGTTGCATCAGCAGCTGCCTTACAGCCCTGCAGCTACCATACTATGAGTACATTGTGTGTGTGTGTGTGTGTGTGTGTGTGTGTGTGTGTGTGTGTGTGTGTGTGTGTGTGTGTGAGAGAGAGAGAGAAAAATAGAAGAGCTCTGCTTTACAAACAATTTTGTCAGCATTCCTTTCTTCCTTGTTCTTGAATTTGACCTTGACAAATGTTGAGGATTTTTTTCATTGTGTATTGAGCTGTATCCCCTCAGTGATACATGCTTTATTTTTTACTTTAATACTGAGAATAAAAATGTTAATGCTAATATAATAAACACGTGGAAAGTAAACTTGAGATAGAAAAGAACTCATTATTTCTAGATAACCAGGTTAATAAAATGGAAGTAATCAGCTCTTTCTCGTAAACCAGGTTTCTCGTGACATTAACGAGATGGATTGAGATTGTAAAGTCTGTTTCTTATGTAACATCAACAGATTAAGATCACTGCACTACATATACTGTGTATTAAAAATTTCACTGCAGAAAAGACGTAGCTGCTTTATCAAAAGTAGAATTGAATGTAAAGGCAGCAATAGATGTTTAGAGTTCGCTCTATGCTGACAATACTTTCAGCACACCAAGTACTCTACAGTTGAAAGTCGTGAATTTCTAACATTTGTGTTCTGTCATGAAGAGCACACTGTAATAATGAATAGATGTGGCCAATACAGGTGAATATAACAGTCAAGGCTCTGCTGCTGAGGCTATAGAGAATTGCTGGAGGAAAACTGCAGATACTTTAAATGCATAAATATTATTGCCTGTCATTAGAACCCAGCGGGCATACTTCTTATTTATACAGTATCATGTCATCTTATTGAGTCTGTAAAGTGACTTTCTATTAACAAAATTGCCTCCTGTTCCTGTAGACTGCAGTGATAGAAGATAACGGTAACAGGTTACAGTGAAGCAATTACGCTCATCATCGCTATGAATGAATTTCACACCTGCAGTTAACCTGTGCCAGAAAAGGTGTCAAATGAATATGGCAGCTATTTTTAAGGGAGTCCAGATTTAATATTGTGGGATTTTATCAGTGTAAAAGAGATCCAACAAAAGACGAAATTGATTGGAAGGAAATTATTTTCAAGTAGCGTCTTGCGCAGGGCTTATTTATTCATCATGAACCTACACGAGCCGCCCCCATCTGCAAAGCCTTCTCCCCAACATGCATGCAACAGTGAGAGAATGCCTTTACAACTTGAAATTATTTATCCTTATTGCTTGGCTGTAAATGTAAGCATGATTTTGACAGTTTTTATGCTGCATAGTTAACGCTGCCATTAGCCTTTATCTCTAGCTTTAAGCATATATTACTCAAACCGTTAGAACAGAAATGACAGAAGAGATTCAAGTACCAATCAAATGGCGCTTTCATTGGTTTACTCCTTGCTAAAACTTCTCTGTGCCTCTGCATTGCACCTGCTGTTCAGTTTACTTTGGCAGAAGACATCGCATTTTGTTTATTTTTTTTGTAGCTTGGAAGCTTTGGTATTATCTCGAAAAGATCACTACATGATAGGATGCCGCAGTGCAACCAGAGGAGACTCATGCAAATAAGCCACATGTCTACTATTGACCAGCTGTAGCTGTGTATTGTAGGGAGATGTATCATTCAATACTGGTTGACATCAAGCGTACAAGAGCTGCGGAAATAATGCAGACAAATAAAAAAAAAAAAAAAAGAAGTTTTATTTAAACTAGCTTGATTATTTTGTCATTATACCCACGGTGTTCAAACGTGACCGCCTGCAGCTGTTACAAAACACCCTCACTGCTCAAAACAGTGCAAGATCCACAGGAGTCCTACATTTATGCAGATCTGTATTTGGAGGCCATACAACGGTGCACATCAGCATTCAGGATAAATGTTCCGTCTTAGCTGATAGTTTGGTGAGTCAATTACAGCACAGCACACAGTTGCAGATTCAGGCTACTGTTAAGCCTAAACTATCCACACAACAAATGCAATTACATGTTTTCCTGATCACCACAGGCATTTAATGAGTGAACATGGAAATCAGGGTTATCACTTGATGTTGTCCATATCGCCTGTATTTGCATAAAGATGTCTCTGTTAGAAGAGACTTTAAGTGAAACATACAGTTGTTGTGAATGCTGCTTAATCTGCATATGGTAGTTGCAAAAAGACAGTTGGAAGTGTGAGGCAGCATGAATATTTTATATTTCTGCAGTTTTTTCACCCCCTCATGTCTCTTTGTTTTCCATTTCTAATTTAAATGTGCAGTTTATAGTTTCTATTTACATATATTGTTTAACTGTGTCGTTTGAATTTTCAATGGAAAAGTCCCACTCAGACACAGATGTCCTCCTTATGGTTTATCTGCTGAATGGCAGTGGAGCTCTATGTTAGACAGGTTGGTGAGCAGGAAAACTGGTACTCGAACTGATCATCCAAGGGCGGTTCACTAAGTGAACAGAGAAGAGCTTTGATTATGCATGCCACAGGCAGTCGTGAGTGGTAATAGTAGCTACAAGGCTATTTGTCCAATTTCTATTTTACCTTCAAGGCGTTGATCTCCGTTTATGCTCAAGTGTAAAGACACGTTACATATTAGTGGAGGCTTTCATCCAGGTAGAAGTAGTGATGCAGTATTTCGTCATGCCATGCCTCACTGCTGTTTGTCACAGCGTAACAAGCTTGGCAGTACAGTTGCTGCCGGGTTGGAGGGGGTCTTTTATCCAGCCAAGGATTCAGCCATCCCAGTTTATGTCACTTTGTCAAATCGTGCATGGATGCACCTCTACATGTGGTTTCAAGGTAGTATGACTCACCAGGCTCAAGTGTGCTCGCAGACAGCTCTGTGGCCCTTTGGTGAACTCACTCACTGTCACTGATCTGGCAATGACCTGCAGTTTAGTGTCCAGGTGGCTGGCTGAGCACGCCTGTTGTGTCTACAGTTTAAGTCCCGATACAACACAACTGGCTCAGTGTCTGTGTACTGGCACAGCAGAGTGAAACCAAACAGTTGATAGTGTCACCCACTGGGAGAATTTACATTCTCAAACATACTGTGCATATTTGGGAGATAAAACATATTTGGCAACTCTATGCACACAAACATACAATCTTTCATATGCAGGGATATACAGAAAAACGCAAAACAAACAGAACCTGAATTGTTCTATATGTTACTGTTTGTCCACAGATTCCTTATCATAAAATACATTTCACGGACATGGTGTTCATCCTCAACACATTTAGTCTTGAAGGTCAGGAAAGAGCACATAGTGAAAATTTGATTAAAACAGAGGGAAATGCAAGAAGTGTCATCATACAACCCTTGAAGTCCAGGAATGAGGCAAGGACGAAAATCGGACGTCAGCATTATACTGTATTAGCATGCAGGTTGCACTAATATCAGCCATGATGGAAAAAATGTTTTGCAGTTGCAAGTCTGCTAAGATGTTACTGGTGTTCAGGTGATTTGCCAAACTCGTTGTAGGTTTGTGATATATTTGTTTCCTTTGGCATTACATTGAGATGTGAATTGTCTAAGAATAACTAGTAATGATTATTGACCCATTATGAATGATATTACATTACTATATTTTATTTCATGAGCTATTTGGGAATTTTGTGGTAATGCCTATATAATGATATTAGAAAAACGCAGCATTTGAATACTGATTTGGATGTTCATCGCCATGGCAACAGTAGAGGCTTTGAGCAAATAGTGTTAGGACTTTAAGAATTGATATTGGATTATTCGAATAAAAAAAGCTATCAATAAGAAAATCTATTTATTTACAAATTAATTTTTGTCCTAATCCAGCCTTAGTTGCAACTTGATCAGAAGGCAAAAGGTTTAAATAATAAAACACAACATTAAATGTGACATTTATCACTCAAATGTCCACACTAGCTGCCCTCGACAGGAACAGACTCAGTCCATCCTGGCCAGATTTGCCATGGTGCCCAAATCATATCAATAATAGGCCTAATAATTGTAATATTTATTAGCCTCTTTAGGTATTCATGTGAGGCTTCTTTCATTAGATAGATTTTCTATTTTTCACAGAAGGTGCTGCACAACCTCTAAAAGGACATTAGGCACTTTTAAATGTTAACGAGAGCCTTCGTCCTTAACTCTACAGCCTGAACCTCCTCCAATGAATTTATTCCTGCTATTTTTTCCTATAATTATTAGTCTCTCACCAGGAAATGTGTGTTAGGGTGTGTTAGGAACGTGTTTGTCTCTGCGTTATCATAACGACTTCTTGTCATCTTATGCGTATGGACAATACATCTCCAGGTGATGCAGGTGTTCCTTGCGGTAGCCATCACCGCCTCTTAAGGTGATGTGTCATCAGCAGAGCAGTGCCATTGCGAAAGAAAAAAAAAAATCCCCCCTCCACTCACCAACCACCTCTCACGTCCTCCGTTCTATTTGGCAAGGGCCCTGAAAAACAATCATCCTGGCCATGCACCACTGCTTCCCATTATCAGTCCCATTTACCCACATTTGTCTTTGTGTTTTCCTTTCCTCCTCTCTGTCTTTCTACCATCTCATCTCTCTTTAATTGTCTTTGTCTTCTTTTGTCCCTCCCATTGTTTTGCTCTTGCTGTGTATTGCTTTCTACCCCTTCTTTCTCCTCTTCTTCCGTCTTGTTCACCCCGCGTTGGTGTCTCTTCCTGTATCTCGTTATTGCTCGTTCATTTCTTCCGCTCTCTTCCTCGTCTCTTTACACCCGTCCTCTCCTCCACATGGCAAAAACACACAGAGCCGTTCTCTCAAGTCTCAGCCCAATCTTCATTATCCGAGTCTTTCATTTTATCCGCTAATAACCCATTCAACTCCAGTCGCTTAATCTGTGTTTACCCCCCCCCCCAACACACACACACTTGCACACCCTCCCATAATCTATAATTGAATCCTCTCAAACCCAGGAGAGCTGCTCTTTTTAACACCATAGCTCTTAGTAACATGAATACACACACACACACACACACACACACACACAGAGTTGCACTGCCTCCCTCCTTTTGCTCTAACCCCATGCACCATGCCTACATTGTTGTAACAGTAATTCCACTCTTTCTCCCAGCTCACATTTAATTAGCTGGACTGGTATCACACTGTGACTTGTGTGTCTTCACAAAAGGAGTGGCGGCTGGGAGCGTAGTTGGAAGAGGAGGTTGAGGCACCAGTTGAACATGGCTCGTACATGCACTGAATGGACAACATGAGGCTGTGTGTTATCTTTGCCCCAGCTTCAATCTGAATATTGTCTGAGGAGAACACAGCAGTTCAGACCTTAACTGTTTTTCTCCACTTGTCATCACGCTTATTTTCACTCAGGGGAAAAGTGTTTTGGTTACTGTGCCTTTTGCAATGTCGACTCTGTTGCAAGGTTACACCTAGCTAAAACTAATTCGGTCTAATACAACAGCTTAGCAATAAATCCTACAGTTATGGCGGTCATAATGTTCAGTTTTACATGCCTCAGCACCGGCAAAAGCTAACACATCATGTTTTCAGGTTGTCTATCCGTCCATCCATCTCATTCTCGTGAACGATATCTCTAACGCATTTAGGAAAACCCTTCAGACTTGGCACAAATGTACACTTGAACTCATGGCTGAGCTGATTAGATTTTGGTGACCTTGAAAGTTCAAGGTGACCTTGAAAGTTCAAGGTCACTGTGACCCAATAAGTGAATGTGATATGTAAATCAACACCTCTCTAAAACAGCTTCAACAAAATCTGAACATTATAACCTTCACAAAAGAGGACTTATTGCAGAACTGTTGTAGTGTAGGTCAGATACGAAAAGGGTGATTTGGAAAATAATATTGTGTATTTTCCATCCTTATGGTAACAATTGTTTTTAGCCTGTGGCAAACTACACAAACTGATTCTGTAATAGACAATAATATGTTTCCGTACAACCATGTTTATTATCACCAAAGTGTAATTTAATTATTAAAACAGGCAGTTGTACAGTACAGTATGTCTTCTGAATGATGCTTACACTATGATTTCATAGAAAGAAAGGGACTGAAACTATTAAATACACTTAGCTAGTGCACTAATTTGCCTTTACCAAAGTCAGACCAGCAAAGACAGAATCACTTTTGACGTGACACTACAGGAGCCCATTTGATTAGCTTTTTGCGTTCTAGGTGTCGTAAAGTCAACTCCTGCTTTTGACTGACGTCTCTCCAGACTGGACTTAAACTAACAGACCAGCGAGTTCATCAGTTAACAGTGGGTAACTACTAGCTGTAATCATTACTACAGTGTGGGGTGAAATATCATACATATGTGCCCTGGATGGGATTAAACTCAGTGACCAGCACATGTAATATTAAAATCATCCCGTCTGCCCCAGAGATATAAATCTCATCTGAATGGGGCTTTAGTCCTCTTACCCCAATCCCAACAGAGCAACAAAGCCCTAAAACGTCTCGTCCTTCTTCCATAAACAGAAGTTCCACCTTCTTATAGGACAGAATGATAATCAGGTCATCACACGACCTACTTACTGCAGCCTACCTCAACACAAAGGGAAAGCTCTGCTTGAGGACAGTTTATTTTTGTGTCAAGCCATATCTGCATGCATCTACAGTATGAAGCTGTGATGTCGTGCATGTGTCTATCTGTGCAGCTGATTGATTGGTGGTTGATCCAGGGTCTGTCTGTGCTTGGTATTTGGGTTTGGCGAGACCACCTTGGCCCACCAATCATTGATTGCCCCTCATCAGCAAATCTCTTATATAAACAAGTAGATTTTGGTGGTAAAAGGTTACAGGTCAAGGTCACTGTGACCAATGAAAACACATTTTTGGCTATCACTCAAAATTTTACACACTAATTAACTGGACTAGTTGATGGAGGCATACAACCGTAAGGTGGTAATTATAGTTATTATCTGAGTGTGTTTTTAAATGTTAATGTGCACACTTGCCTGCTTTATCAGCCGGTGGTGGGGAAGGAGAACTTGTTTACAAGATTTTGCCGGTGGTCTACTCTAAACTGGTCTCCTCTCATCCTCTCTCTCACCACAGCTAGAAGCTACGTATCTACTATGATCGTTTAACTGTGATCATTAAATTACTTCTCAATATACAAGTCTATAAGTTGGTTTTTGCACATTTTCTTTTTAAATTACAGTTTCAAAACCCACGTCTTAACTTATTCTTAAATCCAATGAACCCCAGTGTAAACAAAGCTTTTACTGGGACTATCATGTTTCAATAGCAGGGGGGGACCATAAAACAAATAGTTAACCTTTAGTGGAGAAGACGGCCTGCCCAGATTTTAGGTGGTGCTTTAGTTTCTAGTGTCCCTGAAGCACAAACTGAGAGTCTACATGTCTTATTTGATGTTGCAGCATACATGGCCAACATACTAGTGTGACTTCTGTATCATTTTCTGCTCTCTCTTTCTCTCTCTCTTAGGTGAAATCAGTGAAGACAGGCTCAGTATTCTGGACTATTGGCTGCTGTCTCTCCTATTTCTACATGGTAAGAAAAGTTCACACACAATCACACTGGAAACACACTGGCTACTTACTGATTTGACTTGATATCATCCCTTTTTTAATCAATGGGAATTGTAATATTAAATCCTCTCTGCCATCTTTCAGCCAAATTTGAAATATTTTGTCATCATTTTTAAATTCTTTTAAAATGTGTACTCTGCTTTTACACACCTCACAATGTATTTGATGTGAATGTCTGATGTTTATGTTCTTTGGGTTTCTGTTCCACTGATGCACAACCAGTTGCTCTTCGGGACAAATTATGTGATTCATTCATTCACCGATTAAGATCTACTGAGTAGCATTTAATTTGTCTATCGAATGAAAAAAATCTGCGTCTATTTTGATAATCAATTAACTGTTGGAAGTCATTTTTCAAGCTCAAATGTTAAACATTACCCAGTCGATCATTTGTGAGAATATTCTGATCTGTTTTATTTTATATCACTGTAAATTAAATATCTTTTATGTTTTGGGCTGTTGGTCAAAACAAAACAAAACATTTGAGGATGTCATCTTTTCAGACCAAACAATTCATTGAGAAAATAAGAAACAGGTGAATTGATAATGAATATCATGGTTCGATGAACCCCTAGGATGATATAGTTTTGATCAATTCTGCTTCTGATTCAGACTATTGATTGTGGCTGTTATCAAATCCTTTTACCATTTCTTGTTTTATTTATTTGATATCATGCATGGTTGCCATAAACAATCACTCTTCACAAGCAACAAGGGATTCTGTGATTCTTCTTAGTTAAAATGCAAAAAGAAGAAGCACAGGAGTTCAAAACTTTGCCCATGGGTGTAAAGTGGAATTGAAATGCATGTGTCTCAACAAATCTCACTTTGTGCCTGTGGTGCTAGTTCTAATTCATAACTAAACCCTGCCGGTGGAGTGACTGTCATCGGTCTAGTGTGGACATGCCAATGCATGGAGCAGTGTAGGCAGTGGTTTCTGCATTATTTATGAATCCAGGCACAAGCTCATCGGGGGGTTGATGAGATAAAAAGGCGATCCAGGCACACTGCCTCAGCGACAGATTGTTTGCATGTGTGTGTGAGGGAGCGGGAGTGCCCATGAAAAGCTCCAGCTCCTTGCCCATTCCAGGCTAAATCTCTATGGCCAGCACTGAGATAGATGTCAAATGAAACAGATTACTGAAATCCAGCTTCATCGATCACACTGGGCCACAGCATCCGAGGGAGGCAGAGAGGATTGCAGAGACAGGAGCAGGGGAGAGAGGAACTATGGAAAGATGAATAGAATAGGAGACAAAACACAGATTGGAGACAAAGGAATAGAGAGAGCTGTGGACAGATAAGGGGAGAGAAAGGATAGAGGGGACAGAGATGGAGAGAAATACAGAATGATAAGACAGAAGTGTGACTTCCGCTCTGTCCTAGTCATAAGCAATGGGACCATGAATCTCCATTCTTCCCTCTCATCGTCACTACTTTCTCTGCTTCGCACCCTCTCTCTCCCTCTCCTCAATGATGTTCCTCTGTACTTTTCCTGCCGCCCACCCACTGTTGCAGATGAGTCCTCTAGCAGGGAGTAATAAACTAGGCTTGTGTGTCACCATCAACACCACCACCTTTCCAAACCCGCTGTCTCCCTTCGGTCCTGCACACAAAGTGCCGCATAAACTTGTTGACCCACCCTACTGTTTTGTTTTTTTTTACCACCCCATCACCTTATGCTGTCAATTTAAGCAGGATATAGCCAAGGCTCCATTTCCCCATGAAGCTTAATCAAGTCTGACACTCATAAGGCAGATATAGAGACAGAGAGGGAGAGACCCCTGCCTGGATATTGGCATAATCAAAGGAGAGAGGACAGAGAAGGACGAGATTAAGAAGAGGATCAGAGCAGTAGGACCCAGTGATGGACAGGAGCCACTGGAACCAGTTGGGGAGCTGTGCAATATCCTCCTTTCATCCCTCCAGGGGTGAGCATAAAGAGGGTGAGGGTGGAAGGGAGGGAAAAAAAAAACACAGGACAGAGCAAAAGCAGATGCATGGATCAACTGCACTGTGCTCATCATTCCCAAAGCTTTGGCTGACTCTTCCCTCTAAACCCTCATAGTCCCTGCTAGCACAGAAACCTGTGCCAGATTAAATGTTCTGGACACAAGACTCCTCGGGTGATTGTTTCAAAGATGTCACCTTGTTTGATTTATTAGTCATGCTAATGGAATGGCCTATTAGTCAGTCCAACCCTTTGATCCAGACTGAATTATCTCAACAACTATTGGATGGTTCGCTAGGAAACTTTGCATTCGCAGTCTTCAGAGGATGAAGCCTACTAGTAACGCTAGCAGCGGGTAGGAGTTTTTGCTTATCCTGCTAAGTAGCTCTCTAGCTATGAGGCTGACATTTGTGGGGGTTTTTTGTGTCATATGTCATCAATTATTGGATGGATTGTGATGAAAGTTGGTACAGATATTCGTGACCCCCCACCCCCCACCCCCACCCCCCATCAATTGTAATAAAATCCCTTAATCTTTCATGTAGCGCTGTCATCAGATTAATATTTCAGTTTGCCCAATACTTGAGTTTATAATCAAATACCTGCAAAGCTAATGTCATCCTCAGCCTCAGTTGTACTGAGTGCAGCTTATTGATGGATATTAGCATGCCAATGCAGTAAACTATAATTGGGACATGGGGAACATAATGACTGCTAAATATCAGCATGTTGACGTTGTCATTATGAGCATGTTAGAATGCTGACATTAGCATTTAGCTCAAAGCAATCCCTCACAGAGCTATTAACATGGCTTTGGACTCATAGGCTTGTTTAATTATAAGTAAGTGATAACATTCCAGCTCATAACTAGAGAAGGATATTAATGTGGTAAGAGTAAAAAGCCAGCAGGAATCTGGCCTTTGCACAAGGTCTATCCCTGGAGCGATCAGCATCTGACTCATATGCAGGCATACACGCTAATAAATGTACTGGCCTGTTACCCAGTGTGATCTAGATTCACAAAAAGTGTGTGTGTTATAGCCGCAACCCTTCTGTTGACCCTTGATCATTAAGTCATCTTCAAGTCTTTTTAATGAACCAGAAAGTCACTGTTGGTATTAGAGAGGATGCATTTAATGAAGAAGCACACACACAAACGGAACATTCATTTTCATTTTCGCTTGTGCAAACACATAACATGCACGCGCACATGCACACTAAACCCCTTCTCCCCGCTGCATGCTGTGTTCTCTATATACTTTTGAGAGTGGCCCCGTGGTCATCAGATAAGCCCAGTATGAAATGCAGAGAGCGATAACAGCTCTGACTTTGCTCCGAACATTTTCTGATTCCTGCCCTCAGCTGTTAGCCTGTGGCTCGAGCAGAGAGCTGGCTGTTAGAACCATAATTCAATAGAACTTGTTCGTACACACACACACACACACACACACACACACACACATTTACACACTCACACAGCTTTGGTTTTTGTCATGGGCATTCATCTTTGCATGGTCCTCTAATGTGACCAGATGGCCAGTTTCTCCCAATGTTTTTTCCTCCAGCTGATTGTGCACTCTGCTGGCGGGACCATTTATTCTGGAGAATGGAGAGGTAAATCTGCAATTAGGGTGCATTGTAGAGTTTGCTGCTGCCATCTTAACATCATATCAAAATTATAGTATTTACCAGATCTGACTTGTGAATACTGTTCAGGCCAATATCTAAATGGTAATTATGACTGGGAATCTTATCTGTAGCCTTGCTAGTGGCATGGCCCTGGGGGAGGAAATGTTTGTACTTTGGTCCAGACTTGAATATTTCTATTAGATGGATTACAATGAAATTTTGCACAGACACTCATGGTCCCCAGAGGACAAAGCCTAAAGACTGATTACTTGACTTTATCTCCAGCAGCACCAGCAGTTAGTTGTAATCTCCATTTTGAGTTGTTCGGCCGCCCTCACACTATAATGCATATAGCGACCATTTTCAGTTAGTGTTTTTCATCCTCCTCACATGGCATTGAGTCTCACTGGCTTTTACCCAGCTAAGTATCCAAATGGGAAAAAACAAGCCTTAAAAATAATGTTGTGTTACTTTGACTCTCTGAGTCAATAACGAACCTCAGTGATATCAGGGAGTCTAACTAAGAGGGATCAATATTTTCAGCAGGCTTTTTCATTAGTTTTACCTTGAGGAAAAACTGGTGTGGTTGGCATACTTTTATAATTAACAATATCTCAAGCACTCCTCCATACTTCCTTTTACTCCTGTTGTCCATTCTCTGTTTTCCTAACCATATCATGCGTGCTTACAAGACACAGATATTAACATACAGTACGTTATATTTAGTCAAGCTGTGCAGCCGGTAACCTCCGTCACTGTGTTTCAAGTGTTTTGTTTTCAATTAGTTCCCAGGCAGTCAGCTACACAGACTCGGATCAGCCGCCCCTGTGTCTTAAATTGAAGTCATCTCTGGTATTCATGCGAGTTACGGTTCACATGCTACTAATTGACTGTCACCATCTGCGAGAACAGATGCAAGCGACTGCCAAAAGATAATTGCACCTAACCATTCAGCAAGGAACTTATTTAGGGGGTTTCTTTCACACTCTGCCTTAATGTAGCATATTAATGTTTTCATCAATTAGACATGATGTTCTTGTTTTTCCTGTGATTGCATAAGTGTAATGAATGCTCTTTTCATCGTACTCAGGAGGTGCGATAGGGGCCCTTCTGACGAGCTATGGCAAATAAAGTATTACTCTCTAAAATTACTCTGAAGTAGTAATCTCTAGAACTTTATATCTCTCTTTTCTCTTTTGCTCTGTCTTGCTCTCTTTCTGAACACTCTTGCTTTCTCTCTATTCGTTTACTCTTTCTCCATGCTCTTGTGACTTTCATTCTAGTGCTCTCACTGTTTCCATTTGCCCTTTGCTGTAGTGAAGTACAGACTATTGAAAATTTGTTGGTGATGTTTTTGTGGAGTAGTTTTATAGCCCCCACATCCACTGCTATGATACTCAGTGGACCTCAAAAGCAGTTGAAGAATAATTTTAGTGGAGCTTTTAAAGTTATTGGTTCAGCTCACATTTTACATCTAACATGCAAAGTATGATTGCCTAGTTTTTATAGATTCTATATACGTCACTGTTTTTTTATAGCTGTGTGCTTGTGTCTAATGGGAGGAGGCAGTAAGATGTCTTTACTTCCCTTCTTGAGTGATTCTTGTCAACGTGTTGAAGGGGATTTTGTGCAGAGTTGCATGCATGTAAGAAGGGCAGTTTGTGTGTATGGATCGATTTCCTTTTTACAGTTAAAATTGTGTTTGCAAATCAAGGTCATACGATAGTCACATATTACACATTGAGTTTTTACTTTTGTTTATCTGCTGTATATTAGTGTTGTAGCTTTAAGTCACCTAGTCAACCAGCCAAGTGACAGAAAATGAATTACCTATATTGATAATTGATTAACCGCCTCAAATTTTAAGTAAAAAAATGTTAAACATTTGATGGTTGAACCTTCTCAAATCTGAGGATTCACAGCTTTTGCACTGTTGGTAAGACAAGACAAGACTTTTAGAAATATGACCTTGGGCTCTGAGAAACTGTAATGGGCATTTTCTCGCTGTCTTTTGGCATTTCATAGGCCGATCAATTGACCAATAGGGAGAGTAATTGGCAGGCTATTCAGCAATGAAAATAATTGTTAGCTGCAGCCATAGTAGTATGTGTGAATTCATTTTTTTTGCATTAAACACATTCAGTGTTGCCAGAGGGGGCAGGCTGCATACAGTACTGAGTTCACAAGCTACAGTAACCTGTGATTACACACAAATGCACCGTGACGGCAGAGTTTTTTCATTTTTAGTTTCCATACAAACCAATCAAAGCTAAAATGAACAACGCACAACAACAACCTTGACATAGTGACATAGTGCTCCTTTATGAGCCGAGAACATTGGTCTACTTCTACTTAAACATTCAGTCTGTGCACTGTTGTCTGCCTCGCTTTTTCTTGCTGTTTTATTACAGAAGACTTGTTTCCTGTTTTTTTTATATAATATACTTTATTTCCTCACAAGCTTCCATCAGTAGCTGTGGCTCACTGGGTGTGATGTTCGTCCTCTCCATTTTTGCGTCAGGAAATCTGTGATCAACCTCGTGGTCTGTAAAAGAAAGCTGTGAACGCGCATTTATCCAAGTTACTTATACGTGGCTTCACCTAGTCGCACCTCCTCATCCTGGTTTGGCCAGTGTGAAACGTATAAAGCCAGGATGCATTGACGAGACTTGGTCAAGCCTTGCTTTTTCTCTAATCCTGGATTTCTGAATGCTGCTTTTGTAAAATAGCCCCCCAGTGTCTTCCAACTGGACTGGGTTTCGATTAGCTCCCTTCACCAGGGAAAATCACACATTTCCTGCAAAGCTAATGTGAAGAATTTTACCAGGACAACAACCCCCGCTCGGCAGGGTTAGCTCATTTGATACAGAACAACAAATTGAAGAATCATTGATCATATATGACCTTTCAGTTCTTTGTAAATGAAGAATAATGTCCATTTGTACGTATGTGTTTGTGTGTGTTCTAGGTGTCGGCGTGGGGTGGCTATGTGTTCATAATCAACCTGATTCCTCTGCATGTGTTTGTGCTGCTGCTGATGCAACGCTACAGCAGAAGAGTCTACATCGGTAAGATACACACACACACACACACACACACACACACACACACTCACAAAAGCACAAGCAATTAAACCAGACAATTTTCAGTGTGTGACGTGATGTTTAAAACTCCCCCACAAACAGTAGCTGACATGGAAAGTGTTTTCAGATCTGTTCCCATTAGAATAGAAATGTTTGCAGTAAACAGAGGAAACGCTAGTCCTCCTCATGTGACTCCCAACACTGTTGCCCAAGCATTTGACCCTGAAACAAGCTCAAATGCCCAGTCACGCCTGTGTTCATCTCTCACCTCCATAAGCATTCCATCATCAGCAGTGCAGACATCCGCACACCCACACACCACTTAACAGTAAACGCAGCCACCTGTTACCTTATCCTCGTTTTTATCCTCAGAGCGCTGGTGAAGAGGATAGGCTTGTTACTCCACAGAGCACCCCAGCTTCAGAGAGCACGTGGCAGCTCCGGCGCATTACCCGTTGGCTCAGAAAACTCGCGCTCAATCCTTCAGACCCTCCACCATCCACACATCCGTCGTCAGCTTAGCCCTGAGCTCACGACAGGCACTCCTGTTGTGGTCAAGATAAATGATGCCGTGTCAAGTATCATTTACATATGATTATATGTTGTATTCAGTGTAACTGCAAAGCAGAGTCTTTGAGAGCTTTGAAAATGAATTACGGCCTCTTCACAGTGAGAAGGCTTTTACCTACCTCTGCTCTATCTCCAAACGGTTCTTCAACAATGACCACTAGGCGATACAGAGCTGTTAGACGAGGTGGAAAATTTCCTTCCGCCTTCGCTGTTTCCTCAAGGATATCTGCAGCCTGAACGTCATCCAGCAACCTCTTGCACCTTTGGGTAGCAAACGAGAGATGGAGAAATATATTTGTAGACATATTCTGTTGACAGAAAAGACATTACATCTTCAAGCACTTCCTATACTTGTCACCTTCCCTCCTCTCTTCACCTTCCAGCTCTTCTTTTCAGAGCCAGGTGTCTCTCAGTCACAACGCAGGAACATACAGAAGGAAAAAAGAAAATCCTAGTTTAATAAAAATGCCTCGCAGTCTATGTTCCCTCACAATTCTTCTTTTTCTGTCTTGAGTCAATAGCAGATGTGTGAGAAAGAGATTGCTGAGGGCGGTCACAACTACTTCAAAAACGAAGCGCACTCTTCAGGAAGAGTATGAAATCTTAATTAAGCTGGTGCGTCTGCGAATCGGTTCCCCCAGCTACAAAGGTGGGAGTTGCACTGTTCTCAGCACCGTCGTCTCACTCCAGGCCTCCCCGCCACACTGCGCCGAGCCAGCTCCCATTTTCTCAGTAAATGACATTGGATTAGGTATTTTGTATTTACTCCCTCTGAGGTGCAACAGTGAAAATCAATAGACTTTAAATACCACTTTTGCGGTTGATTTCCCATAGAGGGACCAAAACTTGAGTGGTGGAAAAGAACAGAGGGTTTTCAGTAGAGCAATAGTTTATTTTGATTGTTTGATTTCTTATCTGGTTTGGTGTGTCTCTTGTCTCTTCACAGCATACAGCACTTTCTACATTGTGGGTCTCGTACTGTCAATGCAGATCCCTTTTGTCGGCTTCCAGCCAATCAGGACCAGTGAGCACATGGCTGCTGCCGGTAAGTCCCACCCTCCTCTATCTCCTGGAGTGTCTGAGTCTTTTAGCTTATTGTTTTGGTTTTACAGCCAACTGTTTTGGTTTATTCTCACCGCGCTCATCAACGTTTTCTCACTGTGCGTTAGCTGCCGCACACCAACTGGCAGACAAAGTAAGCAACTGGTTGGTGAACAATCCTGTATTTAGCAGCTAAATTGCCAAATACTTTCCTCAAGAGTAAGAGCGTGAACATTGGACTTGCATTCTTCAAGTGACCAGAAACACGACTCCAAATGAATGCTAATGTCGTATGTACTCAATGTCTACATAGGCCGCTGTTTGCTAGCACATCAAATCATCTTAGTTAGGTGATAATATGTCAGTGTTGTGTTCACAGCGTGTTAAACTACACACAACTGGCCAGAAAAAACTAAAACACAGACTTTTGTTATCATGAATTCCTTCAATTACAATTAAATTGTTTGTATGAAAATTCCTATTTGAAGTTACATTAAGTAACTGAGCAGCCCGTTTGTCTGGGTTTTGTACAAAGAAAAACAAGATACAATGCAGAGCGTTCATTTCTATTTCCAACCTGCCGTGACCCTGCCAACAAATGTATGCCACAAAACACAGGGGGGAAAGGGTTCAGGCTGACAACAGTAGTTCATGTATTAAAGGTGTGACTTTACTTAAGCTTTGTTATCCAAAGCACCTTACAGTGCCGAGGATGCACACACTTTAGGATTGCTTGGCTGCAGCGGGGATTGAATCCCCTTGTGCTGACACCGTTAGTCATGCTCTGTCTGAAGATGAACACAGGACCTTCCTAGAGTACTTGCCCAATAGAAATAAGTAAGCAGCTTCACATGCCACCCATATGGGCTAAGCACTTAAAGTACTTTTCATTTTTGGCTTGTGGAGAGTTTATTAAAGCTTGTTCAGTTTCGCCTCTCAAGAGTGGGCCCATCTGCTGCCTGACAGCATGGAAGGGTGCGCATGTATGTGCACGACTCTTGTGTTCATTTACATCCAGATTGGGAGAGGACTTGGCAGCTTCAGGAAGCTGAGCGGAACCTTTTTTGAGAATTCTCTTTACACTGCAGAAGACTACATTGAAGCGCCCTGTTTTTCCGGGTGTCTACAGCACAAACAGCATTATGAGAGGCTTTGAAGAATGCACTACCAAAAATCATCTCTGCCTCTCTCTGTTTTTGGCTCCCCTCTCTCTCTATCTCTCAAAGAGCGAGTGTGTTTTTATGTCGCCAGGGTAGCAGCTGTTCAGAACATCTGGTGGTAGCATTCGGGGAGCTCAGTGGGAGACAGGAAGAGAGTGACAGAGCCATGGACCTGTCGGTACCGTTGTGATATCAGCCCCCGAGGCAGGCAGGCAGGCAGGGTGGCATAGAGTGACAAGCGTGTTAGCGCCAGGGTGGCTCTTGAGGAGTCAGGCTGGGGCTTAACCTTGGAAATGGGTAAAAACCTGCTGTGGGCGGTGCGGTGATGGGCAAGCTGAGGAGTCGGGTGATTTCACACAAGGTTTGAAAAGGACAGGAGGTGATGAAACAGGGGAACCAGGCCTCTTTTCAATTTTTTAGATCAAATTCACCATGCAAACAAAGAGAGGCACTGGAGAAAACGGCACTGAAAAAGTGACAGAGCAAAGGAACGGAGGAAAGACGTGTGACCAAAGGGGCTGCAAAAAGAAAGACAAGGCGAGGGAAAGAGAACGGCTTATTTACACAAATCTGTCTCATGCATTTGAAATATGTTGTCCCGCAGTATTTGTCTTTCACATCTGAATGAACAGCCAAAGGGGCTATCGCAAACTGCTTTGTTGAGAATCCTGCCAAACTGACAACGGCACTTCTTAGCCACGAAAACCCACTTGGTACCCTGCAGGAGGCAGGATGAATCAGGCCCTCCTCAGATATTCTGTGTGGGTTCCCTTTGTATGTTTGCTCATTCTTTTGCTTCTCACTGTGGCTTTTTCTCAGGTGTGTTTGCACTTCTCCAAGCCTATGCCTTCCTGCAGTACCTGAAGGACAGGCTTACCAGACAGGAGTTCCAGACGCTTTTCTTCCTCGGAGTCTCTCTGGCTGCCGGCGTGGTCTTCCTCACCGTGATCTATCTCACATACACAGGTCTGTATGTCCCGCTCACATGTAGTCAGTGTTGTTGGAAATTGTAAACCATTTCATTTAGTGTCTTGTGTTTTGTCCTTGAGAGTGTAGTAAATACAATTTGTTGATTTGTTGATCATCTAAAAATTGATTAGAACAATAATTGATTATTTATTTCAGTCAGTTATTAAGCAAAAATGTTCCAAATATTCTCTGGTTCCAGCTTCTCAAATTTAAGGTGAAACACAGCAGGCAAACACATCATTTTTTCATGCACTGGTCAATTTTGAGATTTTGTACTTTTTTTGCTCCCATCATGTTTTCCTTCAGACTAGTGGGAAGAAAATGACAGAAATACAAATCTATGATACTGCACTTTGTCGGATTGCGTCATTGTAGAGCACTTTCTCTCGCATGTTGTTGGATCTGAACATGGTCATTTCCTTTTATATTAGATATTGTGTCTGCAAATGCTGGTTTCCAATAAAAATGCATGCTTTCTATACTCTGATATATGAACAAACCCCTTTGCAAAAACCTTCATTCATAGCCGGATTTATATAACATTTCCTTCTAAAAACATGGACAAAATTTTCTGATTTATGGCAAAAAAATGTCTTAATGTTCTTAATGTTTTCTGACACTGTTTAAGCTATGTTAATTGAAAATACAACCATAAAAATAACTATTATTTGCCCACTGCTAGCAAGTAATTAGCATCACTTGCAGCAAGTAAAACAGCATATGTATGAGACACTGTCGTGTGGTAAAGTTGAGTGGCCCAGTGACACATTGTCAGATCATCTTCCAATCATAATGTGTGAATATTGAAACAGTAGAAACAGAACTACTGCCAACAAAAACTGTTAAACCCAAATCTAGTTTGTCCTGGATTTTTATCTTGGTCTTCTTAATGTAGGATCATGGGCTAATAAGAGTGTTATACTCCAATAATAAAATAGGTGATGGTAATATCTTCACCCCCATCTGTTTGTTTGTTTGTTTATTAGCACAATATGTAAAAAATTATCCTGAATTTGACTGAGATTTGCTGGACAAATAGCCATTTGTGCAAGGATCAGTTGACTGGATTTTGATGCTGATCCAGACCTGGGATTTCAGCCATTTTAGATTTTGTTTTCTTCTTTTTGCCAAAAGTTAGTGTGTTTAAACACTATCCTGTAATGGCCTGACCACCAGTCCTCCCCCAGTGGGCTGCTAATCAGTGCTTGGTTTGTCAGAAGATTAAACCTGGAAGGGAAATGATAAACAAATCCAAACAAACAGCTCTGTAAGTTTGAGAACTGTTGAGTGTTGGTGGAGGAGTGGAGTGTTTTTTTTTTTGTTTTCTTTTTTTTGACTAGCCTGGTTGAACCCTGATGTTCACCGCCAGCTGGTTGATCTTTGTCCTTGTTTATGTTTTTCTCCATTATCTTCAGCTCTGCCTGGGCTTGTGGCCACAGTGGATGCCTCAGGGTTTCAGGACTTTCAGATGTTGCCTCTTTGCTATTTCTTAATTTTATTTGTTTCCTGTTTAAGTGACAAATTGACAAATTCAGCATCTCGACTTATTTAATGGACACACTCTCTTATAGCACCAAGAGATGGAAAACACAAAGCAAAAACTCTTTTAACTCCTTTCCACAGCATTACACTGGCTTCGCTTCACTTATCTAGTGGTGTATTAACTCAGACTGGTCCCAAGAAAGCTAATACAGTTTACTGTGTAAGAAGGGAGCTCATTTATCCCCTTAGGTAGTGTGTGCAATCCTTTTCCGCAGTCTGTAATGAGCCTTAATAAAGTATGTGGCTGTTTTTACCTGACATCATATATTGGTTTTCTCGCCCTGATCACTGTGGCAGATTATTTACTGGCCTTAAACAAAAATCTGACATTCTGTCGCTCCGCATTATGTAAACACTGCAGCCAGGCCTTTTGCCCAGAGCAAAGAGATGGTGGCACATTACATCTACAGAAATATTGGTGCCCTTATATTGGTCGCCTGCCTGCCTGCTTTAGAACTGACTGGCCACTCATGTTGATGCAGACGTCCGGTCTGTTGGGTATACTGGCTTCAGCTGGATGCCCGGTAAACTTTGTGATCTGTCAGCCATCTGAATGGAGCAGTGGGAGTCAGCGACTGTTTGGTGATAAGCCAGTTTTTGTAGCAAGTCTTTGCAAGCCCTGCTCTCGTCTGTCAGAGTTTTTCATCTCATAAAAATCTCTGCAACAGAAGAGTAGCCTGGTGGGTTTCCTCAGTATCTTGAACACAGAGCCAAGTATTGATCGGTTAAATCAGTGTCATCCTTTAAATCACCTCTCAAAATATCTCCTTCAACTCACTTTTGCTGCTTTTCCACTTCTTTCTCTCGCCTGCTTTGTTCAGCGCTCTGTAAATTCTTATCGTAAAAGTGCTCTGTTTTTTTTGCGATGGTGATTATGTCATCATATTAAACACATTTTTCAATATCTCTAAAAGGGACATGGTACATCTGTATATGTTGCGGAAAACGCGTCACAAAATTTAAAATATGGAGCTGAGGCTTTTGTTTGTGTTGTCTGTGAATGTGTGTGACTGGCTGAGAGCCCCAAGGCAACAGTTCAGAGCCGAAATGTATTCCAGATCAAAGCTTAACCAACGTAAGACATTTGTATGCGAACATAAAATGCCCTGTGCGGTCTAATTTGCAGCTTAAATGGTTTTAGTTACATTTATAAACAAGTCAATTTCAGTAATTAAGTACCATCAATAGAATACATTTTCAGCATTGACACAGTCTCCTCTGAGGTTTTTATTGGGTTTGAACCACAGTGGGCAGATAGTTCAGCTTTATACAGTTTAGTCACAGGGCTTCACTTGAATGTTCTTAAAGACCCAGAGAACCTATTTTCTCTGTCAAGTTCTTAGCATAGAGAACTGCTGTGTGCCTATCAGAGTTTAGCAACATTCAGTCAGAATGTCATGGTGGCTGAGGGGTTTGCTGATGTTGGCAGCTCTGTCACATATATCTGATCAAACCACATCCTGATGAAGCAGATTAGTTGTTTTTGACTCTTAGAGCCATCCTCTACTGAAATATATTCAGCGTTTCTCACTAAAACACACAACCAAAGCATTACACTATAGGGATTCTAGTGTTCAGAAACTCCACAGTGTACTTTTTTAAAACTCTTAATAAATAGAATATTTTTTCATCTTTTATCTTGCTTGTTGTGTATTTAGTCATGAATATTTATTGTTGTAGAGAAATACCATAAGCTCAGAAACCAATTTTCAGGGGCTTTAAATAAGTGGATGGAAATTTCAATTTAGTTTCACACGGTGAACAGTTAGACTGTACTGTAGACATCCTTTACATTGTCTTCAGTCAATCTCTGCTACACATTTTTCCTGGCCTGTGGGTCAGATAGTATTTGACGTTTTATTTATTCAAAGCTGCACAGTTGGGCTGAGTTTGCCGTATAAATAATGACTCTTTGTTGTAACAAAGGACACCCAAATGAAAGTATTTTAAAGTTGTTTTTACTATAACTAACCTTTATCTTTGCTTGTCTTTACCTACCAGCTGTTCATGTATTCCAAAGCTCAAATGGAAAGCATAAAAAATCCACCATTGTATACCTCTTCATTGATTGTGTTTTCTTTCTCTAGGATACATCGCTCCATGGAGTGGTCGTTTCTACTCTCTCTGGGACACGGGGTAAGCTCCACTGACCTTCACACTCTCACTGTCAATGGAACACTTGTTCAATCGAATGCATGTGTGTGTCTTCTAAGACAGCTATAGCCTCCCTCCTCTGCACTATCCCAGAGGGGAAAACAGTACAACACAGGCTCTGTTCTGAACTATTGTGTTACTTCCAAATAGCACCAGGCACCCTGTGTTCTCCAAATGCACTGCAACGTGTTGGTATTTCAGCACACCCAATCAATTCTCCCACCATTTGCTGACTGAGGCAGTATGGGATGTTTTTTTTTTGTTTTTTTTTCTTTCCTTTGGAGGCTGATACTAATTCCTTAATGTGCTGTGTGTTTTCTTTTCCAGCTGTAATCACAAAACGCTTAAGAGAGAAATATTTAAAATTGTATAGAAATTTCTGTGTAAAAGCACATAATGAATGAAGAGGGAAGACGCACATCAGAAACCAGCAGGAAAAAAAAAGGAACACTACTCATCAGTAATGCTAAATTTGTTCATATTTTACCATAAGCATGCTGGGGAGGTAAATTATCTTTTTTTCTCATAATTCTGTGAGTTAATCAGGAGGATCTATTGTATAATTTGTCTCAACACTCCCAACGCGCTCAACCCATCATGAATTACATCCTGTCTGTCTCTCCCTCCTCCCCCCAACCTCCCTCCCTCCATCCCCAGCTATGCAAAGATCCACATCCCCATCATAGCGTCGGTGTCGGAGCACCAGCCGACGACATGGGTCTCCTTCTTCTTTGACCTCCACATCCTGGTCTGCACCTTCCCAGCAGGCCTCTGGTTCTGCATCAAGAACATCAACGATGAACGAGTGTTTGGTAGGAACATTTTATCAAACCTTTTTTTTTTTTTTTTAAAGGATCTCCTCAGTGTAACTCAACACAGAAAAAGAGGACACTCAATATTAAGTATGCTACAAAAAGCTGGATAATGTACCAATCCTATAGGTTTGCGTTATGCCCCCCTATTTTGATTATCTGAACTTATGTTTCTCAGAAACCATGTTTTCATCCATGCCAGCAGCATGCAATTAGGGATGGCAAGGTCATCCGTTGTCAGTCCATCTGTCAGCCCACCACTTTGGTCTAGACTAAAATATCAATATGTATTTTTCCATGAAATTTTGTCATTGGCATTAATGTTCCCCAGTGGATGTTGGGATGGAGTGGAGGGATGGCTCTAAATACTACAATACCCATGAGCCTCAGCCGCCATTGAAACGTGAGGCATGAATCAGAGAGGTTACATTTATGAACACAGTGTGTCATATTTGGTGGATCCATCCAAAATTTACCTAAAATAAATTAGTCGAAGCTGCAGATTGTTAGTATCAGTTTCCTCAATTTTTGCTTCCACCATCATTTAGTGTCACACATCACAGAATTTTATGCTCTGATTGGATATTTCATACATAAATGCACATTGAGAGTCACCTTGAAAACATCCCACCTCAGGTGTTTTATGCACACAGGGTTGTGCATTCAACTTTTTTTATTTTTTTATTTTTTTATCAAAGAACCAGATATTTTCTTTCATAGCTTATCATTTCTTATGCTGATTCATGTTTCATGTCTATCCAACTGTCAGCCACCCGACTTTCTGTCTGTGGAGAGAGTGAATGAGATTTTTGCTTCTAGAACAGGAAGTTTCTGAAATAGCTGCTGCTGCTGCTTCACAACTCTATTGTGCCATTCATTATTTGTCAGATTAATAAGTATAGCCCTTTAATCACTAATCTATCTGCTGTTACAGTCATTTATCTGCTTTGTTAACAGCAAGCTGTAATAAACATACATGCTTTGTAATATGTATCTAAACAGTCAGTTTAAAAAAAAAACAAAAAAAAAACATGGCCAGAAAGAGTGTAGTGATCAGGAGTCTTGCCTGGTGATCTGAATGAATGCCTCCTGGTTTATGACAGATTCTCACCTGGACGGTTTCGCCTCTGCCTCCAGCAGCGTGATGTACTCGCAGCTTTTAAACAGCCTCAAAGAAAAACATGGAGTAGGAATGAACGTCTTCACAAAACCACTAGGCAGCAATATGACAAACCCAGATCAAGGGCAGAGAACCTTTGAGCCGTCAGCAGCCTGTTCCTGCCTCAGTCTAGATTCAGCTAATTATCGCTATCGATTAGCCATGCACCTGTTGAGCCGGGTCGGCGCTTCTCAAGGACAGAGAGCAGCCAGCACTCTCTCCATTTAGGGTTTTGAGTTGTGCACATCTAACACAGACTGATTATGCAGCATTACTCTAACAACTCAATTTCTCTTTTTCACGTCTTTTTTATCTCCTTTTCACACTCTCTGCCTCATTTCCTGTGTCCCCTTCACTTTCACACCTCTTTCTCCTCATCCAACCTTTGTCTACGTGATTTCCACTCTCTCATTCTCTACTCCCACCTCCCTCACCCACCGCCACATTTTTCTTCTTCCCTCCAGTGGCCCTGTACGCCATCAGTGCAGTCTATTTTGCCGGCGTGATGGTGCGTCTGATGCTGACACTGACACCGGTGGTGTGCATGCTGTCAGCCGTGGCCTTCTCCAGCGTCTTTGAGCATTACATGGGAGACGACACAAAGAGGGAGAAACCCCCTGCTGAAGACAGCAGTGATGAGGATGACAAGAGGAATTCTGGGAATCTCTATGACAAGGTCAAGATGGAATCATTATGATACTGTATTGATGTCTTTGAGGCCATTGTCTTTTCACTGACTGTCCTGTGACAGGTCATATCGTCATGATGCTTAGATTTTTACTTCCAAAAATTTTAAAATTCAATACAAAAAAACCCCAGAAAAAGTGTCATAAAACAACAGTCACTGAGATGTTTTGCTGAGTTACTGTTGTTACACACTTTTATAGCACCCTTTGGGGTTTGGATTTATCAGTCAGCCGTTTGTCAGCCTCCCTCCTCACTCACCACCAGTTTGGGTAAACTGTGATTCAACTGTGATTCATCTGCAACTGTTTGATGCTGTTGCCATGATTTTTAGCTGTCTCACTTCGTTAGAGTTTTCCACTGACTGCTGTATTCACTGTTGAGCCACTCTGTGGTTTCCTTTTACACCAGTCCATGTTATAATTCCTCTCCTCTGAAGGTGTTGCTGAAATGTTCGTGTGGCTATGAAACACATTTTGTAAAATCAAAAATGAAATGTTTTGTTTTTGAAGACAGCGTCGTTGCTATTGTGTTTAAGATGAGTGTGTTTGTTGCACACCCTTGCTTCACTGGCAGGAAAAAAAATGCAGTAATGCACTTTTGATATGCTTGAAGACTTAATACATGCTGCCTATGCATTTTAAACAACCTGAAAAGTAAAGCAGAGCTGTAGAGAAGAAAGAAATAGAGAACACTTGAAGCTGATAGAAACGCAGCAGGTTTCGAAACATGAGGCTCTGCAGATGTTTTGAGGTGTGAGAGTCATTGAGTGTTTCTTCAGGCCTCTGGAACACTAGCAGTGTTTTTTGGAAAAACACTGAATGTAAACAACAATAAAACATAGCTGTGTAGTTGGTCCATGCAAACAGTGTATCTCAAAAATTGTTCCCTTATGGGTTGACTGATTTATCCTACTGCTTAAGCTAAATAAATATTTTAGAAACATGCCGGATTAGCCCAAAAAAAGAAAAAATACAATGTCACAAATCAGAAAAAGCAGGGCTGTTTTAGCTCCTTAAAAGTTGACATTTTGGAGATGCTTGATCTTCACAGAACGTTGACATTATAATGTTTGACATGAAAGATTCACAGGGTGCATTTACAACACACGCTCAACCTATAATTCAACATGTATTTGTTAAAGTGCCTTGTTCAGTAGCTACTTCGTTATATAGTTAAATTATATTTACATTTCAGAGTCAGACCAACAGGAGCAGCTTCAGCTATCTATTCAGTTTCTCACATTTTCTTACAGAATTCAAATGCTATCTCGTCTCATTAACATCTATTATTGCTCACTTCCAGCCACAGTGTCAATTTCAGAGGAAGTAATTAGAGACGCTGCTTAAAGAATCACATTCATAATGTGCACTTCTGATCCTCACCAGAGTTTTCGTTTTCTTTGCAATTCCCTGCAGCTGCAGTAAAATAATATTAACTCATCACCGGGTTCATCTCACAATACTCAGTGATACATCTTCAGACAGCACAGAAAGCTTAAAGACACTCTCTGATACTTTGTTCAATTAGTTCATTAAATAATTTATTCCACGCAATAATTCATATTTCTGGAATCCTTCAGACTTTGCCCTCCATCATAAGAGTGTCTGTCTCCCCCTGCAGGCTGGAAAGGTGCGCAAGCATGTGTCAGAGCAGGAGAAAGCAGAGGAAGGTTTGGGTCCAAACATTAAGTCCATAGTCACCATGTTGATGTTGATGCTGCTGATGATGTTCGCCGTCCACTGCACCTGGGTCACCAGCAACGCCTACTCCAGTCCCAGTGTGGTGCTCGCCTCGTACAACCACGACGGGTACGAATTATACACGCGCACACACGCGCGCACACGCACACACACACTTCGGTTGTAATGCGTTGATGGATTTTATATAACCACAAAGAGTAGGGCAAACTCTCAAGTAATAGGTCTTAATGCAGAGGGATGGCGTGCTCCACCTTGCATGTGAATTAGCACAAATGCATGTGTATGTATGCAGGAACACACAGAGCAGCAGGATAGAGGGAGGACATGTATATTTCATAAGAGGTTTGTGGAAATATTGATAAGTGCACCTATAAGCTTTAATATGATTGCTTAACTTAGTGTTTCTAGGTCACAGAAAACATCTGTGGACCATCGCTGAATTTACAAAAAGCTGATATATTATTCTCTCTGAGAGTCTTTACAGGCATAATTATTCTCTTTAAGCATTAGGCAGGAAATATTGAAGGCCAAGACTAAATGGTAGACGCAAGTTCTCATACATATATTAATGATACCTCTGCAGTTGTCAGACAATGGTTTAGCCGTGCTACTGGGTGCAGCATGGCTGTCACTCTTCTCTCGCACATATACACCCCCACACACACAGACATAATATGATTACCATACCTACAGTTAATTGGTTGCCTGGCTTTATGTCTGCTCCCGCTGCTGGAGGTAAATTTAGGACATAAATGTTCAAAGCGTGAGGTGTTTTTTAACCCTCAGTTTATTATGCACAGATGCTCTATTTTCAGCTGCTGTTGCCCTTCTGATTCAAAGTCTTAACTGAAATATTAATAGCCTCCGCAGCCATATGCCTGTCGACAGTGTTACCTGTCAACCTTATTTTCCTTGTTAGGACGCGTAACATCCTGGATGACTTCAGGGAGGCTTACTACTGGTTGCGACAGAACACAGACGAGCATGCCCGCGTCATGTCGTGGTGGGACTACGGTTACCAGATTGCCGGCATGGCCAACAGGACCACGCTCGTAGATAACAACACATGGAACAACAGTCATATAGCACTGGTGAGCCATTTGCCTGTCACTTGTCTGTCTTATTCTCTTTCTAGTCTCCATCTCTGTGCTGTCTTCCTGTTGTGCACTCTGGATGCAGGAATAGACGGGGAAACAAATGATTTCTTCTAGCAGCCGCTGCATGATTAGCAAGCTCTTCAGTGAATTTTTTATGTAATTGCTACATTGTATAAAACCTCTCCCTCCAACAAGCCAGATAATCTTGTTTGCTTAAACTTTTCCCATTGAATTTACACTGTAGGGGGATTTCAGTTAATTGCTGTCAGATTCTGTGGGTTTGATTTTTTTTTTTATTTCTCTCTCTCTCTCTGCTGCCAAATGTAGAGAAGTGTTTTTGTCTTTTAGTTAAGTCTGTTAAAGCCCTCTAGCTTTCTTCTCTCTCGCTTTCTACCTGCCGCCTGTTGTCTCTTCAGCACCTGTCCATGGGAAATGTAATTACAGAAAATGCATGATGGATCTCTCTTTAATAATTCCTGTTTTTGTGCCACTGCTGTGTTGAAGCACCCTGCTTTGTGAAACCAAAGAAACTCCAATTAAAGTGTGACTTGTCATTCTTCATTGCTGTTTTCAGGTAGGGAAAGCCATGTCATCCAATGAGAGTGCAGCCTATAAAATCATGAGGTCGCTAGATGTGGACTACGTGTTGATCATTTTCGGAGGAGTGATCGGCTACTCAGGGGACGATATAAACAAGTTCCTGTGGATGGTGAGGATAGCGGAAGGAGAGCACCCGAAGGATATCAGGGTGAGTGTGAGACAGGAAACTAGTCCTGAAAAAAGCTAACTAGCCTAGCTTAGATTTCTTTTAGATTGTTTCTGGTTTTATCTGACAATTATGTTTTTCTTGTTTGGGAATATTCATCTTAAAAATACATTAAAAATAAGGTGTTACAACTTAAATACATGTTATACATATTGGCTGAGCAACCTTCACACTTCAGACCCTCTTTTTTTCGACTTCACTTTTCCTTTAGTTACTGCTGTCTACCTGTGTAAGGCAAAGTACCTGAGTCCTGCCCTGCAAATGACATGAAGCTCTTCCTCAGCACATGAATGCACCACACATCACTGCAAGAATCAGCCCCAAAAACACATTCATTAGGTTTACATGCATTCAAGTAATCAAGCTATACAGTGAAATCAAAATGCATAGACAACAGCAAAATGAATTTACATGTGCTATAGTAATCAGATTTCTCCTCTACTCTGACCTTATTTTGGAAACAATATGCTGCTTACAGTGAAGTGCTCATCAGTGGAAACCAACGTATTTAGACTTCCAAAGGCTACTACTTTGCGTTGGTTCAGTTTTAGCTGGACTGAAGAATCAGAAGTAAAAAGGATGTTAGAAACCCAGCTAACCGTATTCATGGCCAAGAAGTCTGTCTCCTCTAGAAGGAATATATTTGGGGAAACCATGTTTCTCTAATCCCCCAACCCCAAATACAGAACTGAGTTTCTTGATTACGTGACATTTTAGAAATCCGCTTACTGGAGCAAGCTGACTGTAACCCGGGTACTTAATACTGTAGTTCAAAGGTTTGAGAAATGCGCTTAGTAGCTTTCTTGATAGCACTCTGTTTGGCAAATATGAAGACACAGCTAGCAGATTGTTAGCTTAGCTTAGCAAAAAGACAAAAACAGGCGAAAACACCTTGTCTGGCACCAGAGTTAGCAAAATCCACATACAAGCACCTCTAAAGTCCACTAATTAACATCTTGTGCATTTCCTTTAAGTGCATAGAGTCACACTGAAAACAGAAGTCAATTATTGTTTGTTTCAGGGATGTGCTGTAAATGGTATTGTTTAACATTTAATGTAGTAATTGTCATTTTCTGAGAACAGGTTTATGTGAACACAGTAGCTTTAATTAATGAAATTAATACGATTCATTTATTTTCATGGACCTGTCCTGTCTGAACCCTATCTGTTAGTGTGAAATTGAATACCTGTCACTCATTTCCTGGACCTCACTTTCCCTCTTTGTCTTCCTCAGGAGAGTGACTACTTCACCCCACAAGGAGAGTTCAGGGTGGACAAGGCCGGTTCACCAACTCTGCTCAACTGCCTCATGTACAAGATGTCCTATTATCGATTTGGTGAAATGCAGGTGAGGAGAGGAGAAGTTCTAAGTAAAGACTGTTTTCACTCTCTGGCCACGTAACATTGCAAAAAACCAAGTCCTAAATCATTTTTTCCATCTTTGTGAGGTGAAGTCAGGGCTGGAGTGAAACTCCTGAATTTTAAGAGATTTTCCAGGGTTATGATCCACTTACAAATAATAAGTTCCAGCTCTGTGCCATTTTCAGAAAGTAACAAGCAGCTGCCTTCACCAAAGAAGTAAAAAAAATACTACTACTATATTTTATGAAGCTTTACCAAAGAATAGCAAGCAGCTGCCACCACCAAAGGTATAAACCTTCTTGCTAGTGTATCTTAAAAGCAGAGGTGGCTGACAGGCAGGCAGAACAGGTTTTAAGGAGATGCCTTGGGGATCGCTTGAGGTTTGGAGAGTGGCGTTTTGGAGGAAAAAGAGGACGAAGGAGGAATCTGAAGGATTGGCAGAAGCTTTGAAATGTGCCACGGCTACTTCTGGCAGGTAGGAGCAGAGATGAGAGGGATCCTTCTTGCCAGGTGCTTCCATCCCTGCTGTAGATGTGGCCCGGCCAACAGCTCGGCTGAGATGGGAGAATCAATGCAGCCGCCATCCGCAGTCAGACAGCCAAAGCTCTATGCAGCTCACAGAGATGTTCCGGTGGAAAGAGATGGAGAGACTGAGGCACAGTAGGAGACAGAGGATAGGACGCAGTGAGCCCATTGAGGGAAGAGAGAAAGTAGATTAGGTTTATGGAAACAGGATGTGACAAGGGGAAATAAGGCTTAGAGGACATCAGGAAAAGACAATAAGAAGAGTGGGTTAGAAGAATACAGGATAGTTGAAGATGCAGTTTATAGCGGCAAGAGATTAAAGGATAATACTGAAAATGCATAATACAGTACAGAGTGGAGAGGATATAATGAATAGAATCAATGCATGGTCCCAAAACAGTCACATTTATCTCCTTTTCATAACATTTAAATGAAAAGTTGAAAAGCACAATATATATGTGTCAAGAGACTAAACTTTTGTGGCTAATAATAATCTAATATTTCATCCTCTGTGTCCTCTGAAGTAGCCTGAAGGCGTCCAGGATTTACTGTATATAGGGACGTGGTACACAAAGGGAGAGTGAAAATGAAGTCTGAAAAAGAAAGAAAAACAGGAGAAAAATACAATAGAGGAAAGGTAGACAGAGTGTGTCGCTTTTAGAACCGAGGTAACAAGGGCAAATCAAATGTGAGAAGGACACAGTAACAGGAGCAGAGGCTGGATGGGGAGCAGTCAAGGGCTTTTTCAGCAGAATAATAGGAACAAGAGGCTGTAAGTGGCTCCTACAAAGTGTGATGTAATAGTTGCCAAAGGGCAGACACTACGCCATCATCAAAGTGCTATCAAACTTTTTGTTTTTCTTTTATAGTTGTATTTAAATTATGTTTGTCCTTGTTTTTATCTGTTAAGTGCTAATGTTTAAATTAATAAAACAGCTGTGGGCTAGGACAGAATGATGAAAAAGAAGTTGCATTTCTTCATAGTCTTCATAAGACTATTGTCTCATCATGTAGCACAAGTTTCCCCCTTTTCTAAGTTTTTCTTTAAACGAATAGTTAAACTTTTGCTTTCTTATCTAACTCATGGTAAGAGGCAGTGTTTCCCAGAATGTCAAACTATTACCGGGTATCTGCAGGTCTTGAAGTCTTAAAAGCCTTGAATTTAGAACTTAAAGGCCTCAGAGGGTATTAAAAAGTCTTACATTTATTTTACAAGTCTTCTCTCTAGACTGCTGTTTTCACTGTTTTGTTCATACATCAGTCTGAAACTCAAAGCTACTTTGTTTACTATCGTATATGAACAAAAAACGCAGCATTTTCATTTAGTAGCTAAAAGCAGAAAATGTCTGTTTTTCGTGATGACTGAAATGTTTAATCGATTATCAAATAGTTGCAGATTCTCTTTCAGTGGACTAATCCATTTGATGATTTATCATTGCAGCTCTAAAAAGAATGAATTATTTTTAATTGGTTAATCCATCCATTCATTCTGCTGCTTATCCAGTCCTAGGCCACATTCATTTAATTAATTATGTACTTCAAGCATACTTTAGCCAGTATCATCGTTAAGCAGGTATTAAATTGCAGTCTATGTAGTTTTAAAAAGACCTTAAATTTAATTTTGTGAAACCCTGTATTACTTTAAACCAAAAAGCTGTTTGCATGTGTCATTTTTGACGGAAACACACCACTAGCTGCCAGCAAATTAATGAAATGACGACCTTCCCCTGTCCCAGCTGGACTTCCGGACACCACCTGGCTTCGATCGCACACGCAACGCTGAGATCGGCAACAAGGACATCAAGTTCAAGCACCTGGAGGAGGCGTTCACCTCGGAGCACTGGCTGGTCAGGATCTACAAGGTGAAGAACCTGGACAACAGAGAGCCTCTGGACCACAAGCTTCGCAGTGTAGTGCCCAAGCAGAAGTACACCTCCAAAAAGGTAACAGGAAAGATTTCGTTATAAAGAGGTCGGTCCTTTCAGTGATAGATGTCACATCACAGTGTGTTGGTGATTCATTTTGCCTTCCGGTTTTAAAAAGATTTTTTTTTTAATAGTTACGCCACCAAAAAACAGCCATCTCTACTGGGGTGTCTGACTCTGACTGCAAATTGGATAGTGTGTTTAAAGAGCAATTTAACACCCTGTTTTCATTTGAATGTGTCCCATTCACAAGAAGCATCTTTTTCACTTGCCAACATGGAAAGCAGTGACAGTGACTCGAGTTGAGCTTCCCCAAGTCTCAATGGGACATCTTTGAAGAGTTACTTATTTTAGCTTAGATTAACATACTATATGCTCCCCACACTGCTGACAGCTGATTTATGTACCGGTATGTATATGTAAAGGGTTGGATGTGTGTGTGGGCGGGATAAGTGACACTGCTTTGTAATACAAGCACATTCATCCACGTCATAGATTTTTCACTTTTTTGGCTCTGAGGACAGAATTTCTGGATTTTCTGTTGGAAAAGGCAAAAAACAACAACAACAAAAAAAAAACATCTGTTATAACAAACACTACCAGCTGGGACCTGTGAAATAAAGTGACTATATATGACCGACTAATTCATATGGAGAGTTAAATTACTCTTTATGAATATTTCCAATACTAAACAACTCTCCAATTTAAGTTTTAAAAAACTGTGTTGTGTATAATGTGTACTTATTGATTGTTGTCACCCTTTAAAATAAGTTGTACTCATTTATAGTAATGTCACGATGCCAGAACTTTTGTAGTCGGTGACATTACCTATGAAATTCGATGCCAGCTGCTGCAATTTACAAAAATAACAGTAACAATTCAGGACATTAACATTTGACAACATGTTGTTGATGTAAAGATCCGGATGTCTGTCTTTGAGCTGCTTAGATAAGTTTGAGGTGTTTCCTCCTTTCATTTGAAATGCTCTGTGGCATTGTCTGCATCCTGGCTTTTGGTCATCTATAACTTGTCCCTGATGATCCGCATCAAATACAAAATATCTCCACACACGCCGTGTTTTTTTTGTTTGTTTGTTTTTTTTTTTCCTTAAAGTCGCAGCAGACCTGTTGCTGTACCCGCACTTGCTGTTGCCATTCTACCTGTTGTTGTTATTGTTTACTGCACCTGTATTCTTCTTCTCTTCAAGTTTGATGTCAGACTAGGACGCTTGTAGGGGTTATTGTATTACACTCTTGAGTCCCAGAAGAATCACATCTCCAGTACCCACGGCACCTACAGTACAGTATCTTGTTTTCCTGCACTGCTCCCACTGTGCTGTAGAAAAACCGCTTAGTGCCGTCCCATCCAAGTACCGTCACATATTCAGAATTTTGGCATCAAGTATTGGTGCTCGTGACATCCTTCATCATTTATCATGGTTATCAGATCACAGGAATGAGTTCTGTTTCATATACACATCAATTATGTCCAATTATACCTCGTCGATTCTGGATCAAACTATCTCAGTTACAGAATGTTTTGTAAATAGATTTTTTTTTCCCCTCTGTCTGAGCAGACCGCCAAGAGGAAGCGAGGACACATCAGGAACAAGCTCGTCCTGAGGAAAGGCAAGAAACTACAAAAGAAATAATGATGATGATGATGATGAACTCTTCTAGGAAAACAAACAAATAAATGCGAAGAAACCTCTAACAACCAATGAAGAAGAACACAGGGGCCATTTGGTCTCAAGCGCTTCTCATTAGGGCGCCCCCATGTGTTGAGGAAGTTGAAGTGTCGTATCTGGCTAGCTCCAGAACTATTGTCCGTTTTATCCTGAGGACCGCTGTCTTGCTTTTTTTTCTCTTGTTTTTGTTTTTCTGTTGTTTGTTTATTTTTTTAATTTGTACTTGAATGTGTGGCAAGGTATAGGGCTGCTCTACTTGGTTTGGCGTCTGTTAATTTTTGTGGTACGTTTATTAACTGCTTATCAGTACGGGGGTTGGGTGAAGGGGAAACGAGAGAAGACTAGGAACATTTGCACCAAAGACCCATCGACCTTGCTCCATGGCACATGCGAACTTATTACTGAGAGTGAGGAAGCGCAGGAGTGAAAGCTGAGGACTTTGTTCCTGACACGTGTACAGAGGACAGTATGCGGTATGGAGGAACGTTACCATCTAGGCACAGCCCATCTGTAATATTAACCTTTTTATCATCATCATCATCATTTACATCTGCCTGGCTCCCTGACCCTTATTTTTCAACAAATTCTTTAAGAAAAATTGGCCTAATATGTAAATATGTTATGTAAAGAAAATGTCTAAAAGGATGGTAATATATTGGATTATGGTGTGGTGATTTTTAAATATGCAGTTTTTGTTCTTCTCTTAATTTCATTATGTGATTGTTTTTGGAGGGGTTTTTGTTTGTTTTTGTTTGTTTTTGTTTTGTATGACAACAAATAGAACAGTGAATGCAATAATTCTTGTACAGAGGGGCTTGAGATTTTGTTGAAAGAATGAATGTGAATTTTTACAAAGTTCCCCCCTCCCCCCTTTTTCATGAATTGCATAGATTGTATATTTCTGCTGCTAGGATTTTAAAGACGGAAGCAAGCAACTGTGTGTAAAAAGTAGTGATAATAAATTAGGCGGAGGGAGCTCTCTAGTTCAGTGAGCAAAGCCTAGTGCCTCATCGCTGGTCATCATCACCTCGTTCATTTGTGACAGTCTACCTTGTTAACGTTTTGTTTAGCTCATTATGTATCAATGGGGCGGGTTGGGTGCTTCGACCAGACTGATGCAGTGGAAACTGGAAATTTTCAAGATGTCTGGAAATAGACAATGGTGAACTGTGAAGAGGGGTAGTTGTACTGAAATTAGAGAAGACATGTTAACTGAGGTCAGGAAAGGTAAGAACTTCCATCACTGTCTGAAACTTAAAGATACTCTCGAGCTGTGTCCCAATTCCATACTGCATACAAGTCTTAGGTAGTGAGTATGTAGCTTATTCACACTGTAGAATTAACCGCTGTTCTCTAAATATGTCAGTGAGCATTAATACTTCAACCAGCTGTTATTATACGTGTCAAAAAAAATAACAAAAATGTCCAGAAGTTTCCCAGAGCCCAAAGTTGTCTTGGTGATGAACAGTCTAAAAACAAAACATATTTAATTCATTAACAGAGAAACAACAATCTAAAAAGTAAAACAAGCAAATATCACTCAATTAAAAAGCTTACCAATTAATTTTTAATCATTTCCCTTCAAATCTAGTTTGTTCACTGTAGAATAAACAGCTATTCTCAAATATGTCTGTAAGTGTGCGGGTGACAAACAAGTATTTTTATTATCATTCATAATCCGCCAATTATTTTCTCAATTAATTGATTATGTTTTTGTCTATAAAATGTCATAAAACAAAAAAAAAAAAGCCTGTAACAGTTTCACAGGTGACGTCAGTAAATGTTTTGTTTTGCCTGATGGACTGATAGAGGGTCCAAAACAGAAAAATATACAGTTTAGAATGAGAGAAAAGGCTTTTACATTTGAGGATCTGCAACAGACAAATATTTGGCATTGAAAAATGACGCAAACAATTAATTGATTGTCAAAAATTGTTGCAGATCTATGGGTTATTCCACTGATTAAGAATTGCTGCACCATAAAGTATGGGACTTTGCAAGAGACCAGCAAACCTGCCTGGTTTTTGCCCATGTCTTTCAAACTCCACATCCTCAGTTTGTAACTTAGTTAAAAATGTTAAATCTCAAGCTCAGTCATAGACAAACCTGACGATATCACAATTGCTTCATGTGTAAAAGTGATGGAGTGGCCCTTTCATTTTCTGTCAGTTGACTCTAGTATCTGGTACAGATACTAGTTTAGATAGATTTTTTGATTCCACTGTTAATACTTGATGAATCTGCTTTGTTAAAGTACCTCAGAATCAATTCAATATTTCGTGCATAGTGTATACTTAGTAATATTAGTTTATAGTAGAGCTGCAGTTAACAGTTATTTTAGTTTTTAATTGTTTGGAGCCTAAAATGTCAGAAAATACTTTTAGAAAATGCCTTTCACAGTTTCCAAGTCCAAGATGACATATTGTAATTGTTTTTTTGTCCAACCCACAGACAACACGCCCCCCCCCCCCCCCCCCCCTTAACTGATGGTTAAAGCTCTAGTGTACAGAATAGGATTGGGACACAGCTCTAATCAGCAGTAACCTTTGACGACTTCTCCTATGGGCACTGCACTGTTCTTTGTGTTTTGGTTCCTACAGATGCCATGTGTAAACACTAAAGGAGTTTCTGTATGTGCACGCTTCAGTAACCTTTTTATTTTTTATCAAATAAGTGACACATCAAAAGACTAACACATCATACAACTGTACTTCTTTTTGTCACATCTCACAAAAAGTGACTTTATTAGTTTCTCCTCTTTATTTTTTCTTGACACCTTTTTTAAAAAAAAAAAAGAAAAGAAAAAACTTACGTGAATCACTTTGTTCTCTTTGCTTTTGATCTTCTCTGCAACTGTGTGTCACCATTTCAGGCTTCAGACCTTTGACACAATGCCACATTGTTATTCAGTTACACAACGCCTAAAACTGTGTCATGTCCTTTGATTTCTCATTTGTCAAAAGGAGAGAGATCAGACTAAGCCTTAATGTGATGTACAGTTTGTTTCCCTTTTGTTCATTTTGTGTTCCTTTTTGAATTAGGAACGGTGGAACAGTTCTTTCCTCTACTAAGTTCACTCATTTCTTAGTAGCTCAGTGCCGTCTGTCCCCCACACCGTTCTTTGGTTTGATGCAGTCCCTCCCCGCTTCTCTCTGCTCACCTTCAAAGTTTACATTTTTACATTGTTGTTCTGTTCAGCCATCTTTAAATACACACTTCAATGAAAACATCTGTGTAAGTTGTTGTTATTATGGTGTTCCCTCCCCTGCTAAAACTTTCTTAAGTCTTTACTTTGCATTTACGATTTTCCTGTGCAGATCTGATTTTTAAACCTAGATGAAGACGGAGTGAACCACTTGATGGCAGCATTAGCCTTTGAATGAAGATACTTGCTTCTGAGTCTGCAACAGTATGTACAAAAACTGACCTAATACACAGTGTGGTGAGGATAGTTGGTGGTGGGTTTGAGTAGCATGCTCGTCATTGTAAAGACACTGATTGAAATCTTGGTATGTGGGTAAATATTTGTTGGGTAATGTAAAGCCTTACTTTAACAGATAACCTCCTAATGTTAATTGATCTTACTTAAGGCATTTGAAACCTAGTTTTTCCAGTGGAGCTGAATAGAACCTTTTTGTGAAGGGTTGTACTTGCATGTCCAGTATGCAAAGCAGTGCACTACATGCTTGGCCATCCCTGAATAAAACATAAGTTGAATGTGTGAAAGCTAGCAGCAGGGTATCTGAAAGTCTTGAAATGTCTTAAATAGCACTGGCGTCAGTTTCCTCAAAAAAATGCCTTAGAGGGTATTTAAAAAAATCTTAAGTTACATTTACAGAAGTCTTAAATATTTTCTCTCCCCTGCAGTTTTTTCTCATGTTTTGTCCGTCCATCGATCCAAAACTCAAAGATGTTTGATTTATTTTCCACGACAAAAGCGGCAAATATTTATAATCTGTGGCTAAAAGCAGCAAATGTTTGACATTTTTGGCTGAACAAAGACTCAAATGATTAATTGATTGTCAGAATAAGCTCCTTCTGATGGATTAATTGACAAATAGTTGCAGGACTAGAAATAATTTCTGTTATTCCACAAACTGCTGTCAGTGCGGGTTGCATTCATTATATGGTTTTTGTGTTAAACACTGCTAGGAAACACTAAAAGGAAATGTGGGTCCATACCATCTCTGCTAGTTTTCCATCATCACCTTCATACTATGGCCAGTGTGATGGGGAAACGGGTACAAAATTTAGTCCATGTGGTATTAAAAAGGTCTTAAATGACTTTGCTCAACACTGCAGAAACCCTGATAAAGTAATGACTTTTTACTGTTTTTCTTTACTGTTGCGTAGTTTAATTTATAACATTTTCTAAACTGATAAGTTTACATATAAAATCTTGATTTGAAAAGTTAACAAGTAACTAGCTCTTAAATTATGTAGGGGAGTAAAAGTATCATAAAATACAAATGCTCAAGTAAAGTACAAGTACTTCAAAAACAAACTTGCATCCAATACTTGGGAAAATCTACCTAGTTACTTTCCATCCTTGTTTATTTGCCACAGTATATTGTGACTGTTAATATACATTCATTGTTAACTCTTTGTTCTACCATGTTAGCATGTTGTCAGAGTACTAGTATGCTAACAACATGTGATCATATATATAAATTGCACGTAAACATGGTAGCATTTAGCTTGTTTGTTTATCATTCTATCATTAGCATATTTGCTACGTTAGCAGAATTAAAAGTCACCAAAGTCATTATAGTTCATCTCCCCGCTACTGTCAATATTTCTACTAAATTTATGGTAGTCTATCTAGTTGTATAGGATTAGTTATTCTACGATGAAGACAAGTGACTTGTAAGGCTAAAAAGAGTGAGTGTGTACCTGCTTTGACCTGTGGTGTGACAAATGAAGTGTAGCGTAGGTCGTCTACCTGTGGAGTGAATGAGGAGTATTTAGTGCGATTAATCACTTGACTGCAGGACATTATATAACAGTTGTACATAATGACAGGAGATCATTTAAAAAAAGATACAAGGTCTTTATTAATGGATAGTCCTTCATTCATCCACAATCACTGTCTACTTAGGTGAGTCTGGATCCTTTTGGATATAGAAAACTGCTTGTTAGTTTCATGTAAGGCGAGTGTCATGAAACAGGAATGAACAGTGGATGGAAGAAGGTGACAGGTTTTTCTCAGTGGTTTAATATGTACTGTACTGTATTGTAATATGTCATGTACTGTCATGGCTTAGGCTACAAACTGGCATCTGGTAAATTCACCTGGCTAAAAATACCTTTACTACAATACACCTGAAAGTTAAACTGAAGGAACAACTGAGAGGAAAAGTAGTGAGGAGTAAAGTGAATGTTCTTTCATGACAAAAAAAAAATATTTATATATAAGGCCATAAAAAATAAACTTTCATTGAAGAAGAACATGAAGTGGACATACTGTTAATTACTCTCATTTAATCTCTGCTCTTCTTTGTTTTTAGGAAATCCATTCAATCTGGAAATTGGCAGCATAATTTATCAAATGTGCACTGTGAGAATGTGAGTACTACAGTTGTATGACCCGTTGCATTTCCTTTTCTGTCCAACAGGCTGGTTACCCCAGCTCCCTATGATTGTTATTCTGGTAGATAATCCTCTCATCTTCAGAGGCAATCTTCCAGCAGCCCGCAGATGTGAGAGCATGGCTGTGTGTTTCTGTAAGCCTGCTCATCCATATTCATCGCCACGGGCGACCCAAGGAGACGTAGTAACTGGGTGTGCAGCGGCTGCCTAATTATTACACAAGTGCCAATGTAAGGGCACAGATCCAGAAAAAGATTAGAAGACACCCAGGAACATTTTGCCACAAACAAACCAGTGTTTTCTCTTAGAAGAAGAAAAACTGGCTAATGGCTGGAACAGCTGAATGAGAGAGGTAGTAATGGAAAGCGTCGGTTATGCGGTGGCGTCTCACTCAGTGGGTGATATACTGTCAAAGGAGCGACAGGGTAAAATAAAAAGCGTGTAGTAGCAAAGTACAAGATGGGAAAGTGGCATAATCACTATTAAAATGTGTCCAGATACATTCATAGTGCAGACAAAACAATCAGGGCCTTTACTTTCCAGTAGCTCACTGTAATATACTGTATAATAATATATACTAACACATATTCTAATGTAGTACATTTTACCACTGGATTTATATCGTTTAAAATCTGGTCAGGTGTTCTTATTTCCCATAAAGCTCTTAGAGACCACCCTGATTGGTAAAAGCCATAGATATAAAATAGTAAATTTATTTCTATGGTAAAAGTGCTTTTACAAACAACTCATTTACAACTACAGTTTTATGTGTTACAGGGAACTTCCATCAGTTCATTCTAACGCTGCATGACGAACTAAAAGCTTTGAACCAAACACTGACATGTCTGAGAAAACATATTGATCATTTAAAAAAAAAAAGTAAAACACCAGTGGCAAACTCCATTACTGTGCATGTGCAAAAAAGGCCTTGGCAAGGTGAAAAATAGAAATACTCTACTTTGAATAGTAATACTATTAACTGTATATAAAAATGTACTTCTGTCCCAAGAGCTCCAAACCCCTTCTTGGTTATAACAGTGGAGATCCCTTTGGCACCTTGCGTGTTTCCTGTTTGTGTCTCTATGGTGTCGCTCTGAGAGTCTGTAAGCTCAGGTCCGAAGGTCTGTGTGAGACACCGTCCTCAGCGTGTGGAGGCAGAATCTCGGTTGTTGTCCGTGAGAAGAGAGCGTCGCTCTGCTGTCAGGTCGACTTCCACAGTGGGTTGTTGTAAATCCAACCTTCTCCCTGCACATGTGGGGAAAGGAAATTTATTAGACCCTTAAAAATGTTATTGGTGACCCAGAAAGATGAACAACAGACCTAAAGGGGGTCAGCTCGCTCAAATGGTCCGGCCATGCAGACCAATTCATTTTCTGTAAAATATATCATCTGAGTTTTCTGTCTCCACCCCAATGCAGTGGCAGTAATAAAAAAATTTTTTTAAAAAAGGAATTTTGTTTGTAGTGTTCACAAGTTGGAAATGTGACATTTGATGACCTGTTTTCACTTTGCAGAAACCTTTCTAGAGGCCCGGGGACTAAATTTAGTTGCTCAGCCGTATTTCCTGGTGCCAGAAAAAGCCCCTGCTTTGGAGGTACTTACTTTGTGTCGGCCCAGGAGCTGTTGTGGTCGAGTTTGCTGTGCTGACTGGTCAGACACAAAAGGTGCACTTTTAGCACTGGCTGGCACAGCCGGACATGTGACACAACATAAGTTATGTTGTCTGCTTCAGAAACTTACAGGAATGTGCAAAAGGGACTTTTAGTTCCTAATTTAGCTTGTGTCACATCGTTCCAGGAACTCTGGTCAAAAAGGGGCTTTTGGTTGCTCTTGATAATCCAGACTTTGCTGGGATCAGTTTTCAGAAGAACCACTTTCCACTGAAGAAGCAGTCCCTATGAAAACTGATCATAGTGAGGTCTGTGGATTACACAGAGGAGAATTTGTCACTGCTAACAAGATCACTCACAGTTTCACTTCTCCCTATCGCAGGTGTAGTGTGGCTCCCAGAAGCTTATCCTGCTACACTTTACCTCTTTAGAGAAGTATTTGGGTGTCCAGGGTTTGTTATCAGCTGCCCTCTGCCTCTCCTCCCCTCTCTGTCGCTCCTCCAGCCTGTGTTTGTGCTCCGTGGCCTCGTCGATGTTCCCTTCCTTCAGCGACTTGGTGACATGTTGCCATAACCGTCTACAAGCACATGTAAAACACAGAAGCGGTAAATTAACAGCTCCCACATCTGGGATTACCCCCAGCCTAAATTAACCGATGTAGAAAACTGCATAAAGTCAGCGATGATGAGTTTCTCACCGGGATTCTGTTCTCCCCTGTTTTTCCACTGGTCGCAGCTTCTTCCTGGTGACTGGGAGTTTGGCCGTGTCGATCACTTTGGTTTCCCCACTGCTGTAGGTGAACTCCAGCGTGCCGTTCCACTCACCCTGCGCTTTACACACGATGGTGTTGGTCGGGTTGTGTTTGACCTCTGCCGTCACTCTGCGTCGGCAAAACAGAGAGACCGTTGTTAGAAGACTGCCCGTGACTTACAGGACAGTTGACTGCAAGCATTTTCATTTTAGACTTCAGACTTTGAGGGATTATTTTATCACTTTCAATCACTGATAATGAGGCAGAAGCAGAAATGATGCTGCTAAAGAAGCTTTTACTGACTTCCATTCTACATTCATACTCTGCCACCCTCGGCCTGATTTATTGTTGTACAGCTGAATTGATTTACAGTAAACAAGGAAGTTGCTTTATGGCAAATCTCAGGAAGCATGCTGCTGTTCTTCAATCACACACTCATGCTTTGAAAAACCTTCTTATATTCCCGACTTAGTAAGATGTAGCTGACTAATAATTATCTTTACTAGCCACATCACTATATTCTAATGATGTTACGTTCAATTAGTTTTGTGCTGTGAATAATTTGACCTGATATTAATGTAATTGATGGGCTCAATTCACACCTGGTTAGAATCAGGTGACATCTACAGATGAAGATGCATCACGTCTTCATCATCACCTGATGAAGACGTGATGCCGAAAGGTCATAACTGCACTTAATAAATCCTCTTTTTGGGAGCATCTATTCAGTGTGTCTTTTTTTCTTAATTAATTGCAGATGGCAAACTAATTAAGGGCTGTGTGTTACTGTATGATAATATTGTCTTTGGCAAAGTCAAATCATGAAAAATATTTCCTGTATTTTATCCCATCCAATCAAATGAAAGAAAATAAATATCAACATGAGATGCAGAGGGGTGGAAGGGTGTTAACCAAGATAAGGAAGCGGAGCCTTCATGTTCCAGAAAGTGTTAAAACTTTTAAAGTGAAAATTCACTTGTAAAACAGCAGAATAATTACAGATGTGAGCAAAATGTTGTAAAAGGCCACAGCAGGATTTACAGCCTGAGAGGAAGCTTCATTACATCAGTAGTAGGTGACATAATCTGCCTAATATCCAATATTTAATAAATGGTCAATGCAAGCCACATTTATTAATGTAATCACACTGTGGAGCATGAAGCCACTGTCAGTGCCCTATAATCTCATTACTCACAGTATTTATGACTAAAGTGAAAGAGAAGAAGAACCAGTTGCTCATGTCTTTTCTCAAAGTGAGATGGATGGATAAAGACAGGCAGCGAGAGACAAAGAACTGCACAGTAACACTCACCTGTGGACTTTCCCCCCATAGAAAGGCTTGGTGTGAAAGGTGACGGTGGCCGAGTAGCCGCTCTTGATGCAGTTGATGGAGACTTTGCCCCCGAGCTCCACCCAGGGCACGGTGAGGATGGAGCGGGCGTAGGCACAGGGCAGCGTGAAGACGTACTCCTCATCGTGCTCCAGGAGACAAAGGACTCCTGAGAGGAGAGAGGAAGAAGAGTGAGAGAGGTTTAAAGTTATGACGAGGGGGAGATGAAATCTCCTCATGTTAGGAAACACTCAAATATGATTGTGTAACAGTTTGGAGGAGATGATACCATTATCTCAAAAGTTCAAATCAGGTGAGGCATGTCGAGGAGCCTCTTCTCCTCCCACATGTTGTTATGCGGAGCCAGCTGATTTCCCTGCACACTGCCTCTCTTTGTGCAAACGCATAATCAGATGTTGCACTAATTTAATTTCCTGGCCCGGTATGTAGATGTTATGTGCCTGCCACTGATTTTCATTATGCACTTGTAAAACACAGCAGGCAGTGCGGAGACTTTAGCAATAGGTAAACAGACACTGAATATCCTATACAAACATTAAATTAAATGTAATGACTACGCTACGCATTTCATGGTGCTTTCAAATATTGTTAGTTATGTAAGAATTCATTTTTCTCAACAATCTCTGAAGAGCTGACAACAGCCGCAGCTTTCAACCGTAGTGTTGTGACTAAACAAAATTAGGCTCATCTCCTGGGTGTAAAGGCAGTACAAGTGTCATTATTTAACCTGACTGGAGGCAGCGAAAATTATTTTCTATTACACATAATGTGAAGAACATTATATTTATACCAATTCTTATCTCCTTTATGCAATTTACACTTGCATCTCTTAGGTGCAGGGATACCCATGTGACAGGTAGTTTATACTTTATATTCTCAGTGTGTACAACTCATCATCAGTGTCATTCATTCAGTGCATGAGTGGATTTATTTAGTCCTAAACAACAAATTCTTTCCTGTTTTCCACTGCTTCTCACATGTCCAGTCCATGAATAGTTTTCTGTTCTTCATACACATCACATGTTTACAAAAGACAACTTGTGCAGCTATGTTTCACTGCTAAATGCCTGCAGGGGCAAAACTCCATGTGGTGCCATTCTGGTCATATTACGAGACCGAGAGATAAACCTATTCAGAGTCGCAACAAAAGTCCTGCAGCCATTATATGATACTGAATAGGTTTCAGTTTGTTGTCATGTGAACAGAGCACCAGGCGGATAACCAATCATTACTGAAGAGGCCTAGAGTAAGTGCCACACATAAGATAAATGGTTGTTCAGTCTGTAAGCCAAAACACACGGAAAGCAAAGTGTTGAGACCCTTGGTAGTAAAAGTAGAAGACAGTGGAAACAGCATAAAAATCCTCTGTTACTCTTGTAGCCTACTTTAAGTATTTATTATGTTAAATGTATAACTTACTTGGACTATTTTTGTTATTGATTTAAATGTAAGCAGTATTTCAATGTAGCTGGCTGAGGTTAAGTTGAATTAAACTGCTCTATATACTGTTGGTTACTTCAGTTTTTCCCTGCAAACCCCTGATCTTTGCCTCCACGTATTTTTTTGTTTTTTTTTGTTTTAGCTGATCAGACCTTTGTGGACATGTACAGACTGGACTGGACTGGCATCACTGTCACTCCACTGTCATCATCCCAGCATCTGTTGGATTTGCACAAGTAAAACCTGAGCAGTTATGATCAACCTCACCTGTGTGGGTATGCAGCGCCTTTAATCTTTGATACTGCTTTATATTTTAGGTTGTGGAGAAGGTTAGGTTCGGATTAAATTAAGCAGAAACATAACGACAGGGAAACAGATTTCGACACGACACTGGCCATAGTATTTCGTTATTTCATCCTCTTCCGTCTCTGAATTGCATAGTTAAGGATTGTTCTACAGGGATGTGGTTCTTTACAGTGTAAACCTCCATCCCTCCTACATGCGGCAGCAGCCTCGAGCAACCACTCATTTACAGCGTCAAACAGGTGAAATCAAAACCCAGCTGATCATGTACACAAAAAACTGTCTTCTGCTTCATTCCTTTCCTGCTGCTGACTCACTGCCAATCAGTCACATCTGAGCCATTCGGAAGAATACAATATCAACTCCTATCAGTAAAGCAGCCATTGCAAAAATACACCGAAATCAATACTTCCTGGGGTGAAGGTGACCATGTTCTCGGCGGCAGCATCAGCCCCCCGCACACGATGATTAACCGCTGCGTCATAACCTGACAACAGGTAGTCAGAAGCACAGAGAGAGTCTGAGCTGGAATGTCTGAATGAATCGGTTCATGTATCCAGGTTCGGTCGACCGGGCTCAAGGACATCCTGTACCTCTGCTCAGGGTGACTCATCCCAAACAGTCTACTGTACGTGGCCTTATGGTGCTGACAGAGAGGACTGGATTATTGATTGCCATGGGAGAGGTCTCATAGTCTTTCGTACAGGGCAGGACACTGTCACAGTGTGACACAGTTTAAAACCAAGAAAAATGCAAAAAGCAAAATGCTATTTTCAGAGACGTCTGAAACATTTTGTCCTTCCTGTTATTCAGCTGACACAATAACAACCTTCTCACAAACAAGCGCAACTATTTATGCTACAACAGGTGAGCTATATTTTAAGGACAGTGTTCTTGTTTAAATTCATCTTTTTGTGCTTTTTGTTGAGGCTGCTCAAGGTAGCGATTCAGTTCAAAGGTCAATTTTCGGAACCATAGTTTGTTGAACAAATATCCCATGTAGTGACCTTTTCATTTATCATTATTGCATAGTTTAATTAATACAACAGCATGACCTGCTTTTACAATAATCACAGTTACAGTCATTACATCTGAGTGATATTAAGTTGAACACCGTTTATGCCTGTCTGTGGCTGCTTTCACAGAGCCTGCACATTGTATGCTCTCTGATCTACGTTTTAATTATGCATCTGTGCGTGATTGTATGGTAAGCTCAGCCAACCTACATGTATAAATAAGATTAATAAATTAAATGTTGCAATCTGAGTTAATAGATTCTGCTATTGCTGTATTTATAAGGCAACATATGGCAGCTTAAAAATTAACCTACGCTGCTCGTCAAAAACTGCAATATTCAAATAGAAAAAATCTCATAAATCATGATAACATGTGCCAAAAATATATATGATCATAAAATATAATGCAGTTTAACATTAAGTTACCCAACAGCTTATAAAGTATTCATCTTAGCTCCACCTCCACCAGCTTTTAAGCAAATATGTTAATGCATTAGTGACAGTAATCCACCAATGTAGTGTGAAAGGGGGGAATTCTACCAGCACTAGAGTATGTCTACGTTTGTCACTTAAAGTACATTTTCTTCATAATATTTTTATACTTTTACTGAAGTAAAACTTCAGAACTTGTATCCTTGTATTTCTACTGCTTTCTATTGCTCCGTTTATTCAAGTTAAGAGACTCAGTATTTCTTCCACCAGTTATCGTGTGTAATAATTTTCTTGTCTTGCTTATGTTTGTATTTGTCATAAGATAGCGTTCATGCTGCTCTCTTGGCACATCTACAGTACTTCTACTACAGTATAAGTGTCATGTTGTGCTCTGACTCACCTTCTCCCACCATAGACACTCCTATAGACATGCCCATGAACTTGCTCTTGGTCCACACATGGGCGTTGACGCACATCTGTCTCTCCCGGCACTCACAGTAAAACCCTGACACTGGTGGATGATGGGACACCTGCTCGGCCACAAAGCGGACTCTGTAGCAGCCCCCCGGTGAATCGTCGCCCTGCTGCGTGTTGTTGGGGCCCCTGCTTGGCTCCCGAGTCGACCCCTGGTTCGATCTAACCAAAGGTTTGACTTTGTCCCAAGGCACCTCCCAGGAACAGTGGAAGGTCTCCCCCAACACCGGGTTGTAGGGCTTCTTGGCAACAGCTCCCTTACGCCCCTCATGGAAGGCAGTTAGGTAGTACTCCACAAAGCGGACTATCCGGTCCTCGGCTGTGGCCCCAGCTGTGATCGACAGGAACATGTCAGGGTGGGCCATGAAGTTGGCGTACATCTCCAGCAGTGATCGCTTTTCCAAAATAAAGGTAGGCAGCACCACCTAGGAAACAAAAAGATGTTTGGGAAAACTGACACACAGAACAGCACATTCATGCCATTCAAACTTTATTTTCACAAGTCTGTAAAATCACTTTTTCTCTTCTTACCCGTGTGAGGTCCATGCCCAGTTTGAGCTGGGAGAGCAGGTGGAGAATGATGCTCCGCTGGTCATCCAGGACGCCCAGGTCCTCCTCCTCGTTGTCTTCCGTGTCTGTCACCTCTTCAGTGGGGCTGATGTCCTCCAGCCCTGGGTGGTGCTGTCGAGACAAGAGCATTTTCATTATTCAACCTAAATAAAAAGCTTGAATAGAGCTTCACAGTTTCAGAGTATATCAAAGATTGTTATGTGCTGTAAACAGATTAAAGCTTTGGAGCCAAAACCTAAATCTGAGTCTAGTCTTTTAATATTACAATCCTACTAAATGAGAATACAATATGACAATCCTGCACCACATGAAGGTTTTGACTTAGTCTTGTTCACAGGCACAGGGAAATATAATATACCAGGCTTTGGCTACACAGATAATACTTTTTGTACAATTAATTAATTGTTGGTTATTTGTTAGCAAAAAAAGAAAGATAGATATAAATTACATAATTTTTTTCTGACTTTTCTTTGATCTTTTATATGTGAAATAGTGGATTTTCTTTGTAGTTTTTTTTACATCCTTAGGCTTCTAAAAAAGATCAAAATGAAAAAATCTTTTCTTGCAACCTGTGACAAAAGGTCCAAAGAAGAGTACTACTTTAAATAATCGCTAAAAATAAAATTCTTTTTTGTCTGGACTGGTCCACATATTCAAAGATTCACTGCTGTTCCTTGTGACACCTGTCACCAGAAAGGCCAAAAGGAGGAAGATGAAGCCATTTTCTTCCGCCAACTGTCAATACCAATGATAAGGTCACACATCTCATTTATAGGCCAGCGGAGGACTTGCTAGAGAAGCAGCCTAAAAATACCAAAGGACACAACCTCATTTACTTCTCACTGCAGCCCATTCAGCCATGTCATCTAGCCCTGTCAAGCCACTTTCACTGTTTCACGTGACAATAAGGACACCACATTTCTTTGAGCAGAGAGAAGTTGTGTCTTTCATTTGTGCTCCGGCATTCAGCTGGAAATGGATCCAGTCGAGGTTAAAGAAGAGCTGATGCCTTTGATATCTCCTGCAGTTACTTGAGGCAGGAAGGAAGAAGAAGAAAAAAAAAAAACAAGAAAGAGGCTGATGTATAATGCAGAGTGCTCTCGAGCCTGTGGGCAACAACAACTCTCTGTACCTCCCATCCGCCCCACTGCTCTTTGTCCTCCATTTCTATCTGTTTCTCTATGTAATAATAATAATCATATACACGTATGTGTCCTTTTTTTCAACTTATACGTAGCTCATTTTAGCGAAATCACTGCTTGAAAAAAAAAAAGCAAAATAAGCAGGAATACTGAGAAAAAATCTGAAATGAAACTCTTGGCAGCATAATTGCATATAGTGGCTCTGCAGAGAGGGGGAGAAACGCTGAAGAGAAAGACATTTCCAGGACCAGAGTGCCTGCCTGTCACCTGAATATTTCATTCCATGCATGCATGCCAAAAGCTCTACACATCCATTCACACACACAGCAAGTACACATTGTGCACAAAAGACACGAACGTACACATACTCACAAGGGAACATGCTTGAACACACACATACAGGAGTCCCAGGAGCTGGTTGGTTCTCGGAGCAGAGTGATATATATAGAAGTGAAAAGGAAAAGAGAAGGAGGCAGGGGGAGGTCTGTTATGATTCCAGTGCTTCTAACTAATTAAAGAGGCTCTTGACAGCAACAGGAAATTACTGCTGAAGGGGTCAGAGCATCTCTGCGGAAAATTGTCAAGTGGATATATTGGTGGCTGTCATTAGCTAAGACTTTTTAATGCAGTTTAACTTGTCCAAAAGTGGAAAATAATTTGCCCTGAATAATAAATAAGCACAGAGAGTGTTTGGATTTATTACTTAACAGTGTGAGAAGCAGGAGAGAGTGTATAAACCAAAAAGGTTTCAGAATATTTATTTCAAATACTCTTGGTCATTGCAATATGAAATCTTTTATTTTGACATTTGGCTATTGGCTATTGGCTATTGGCTATTGGCTATTGGCTATTCTATAGCAATATGTCTCAAAACATCCTTCATATTATTCTGCATGCAATTTCTGTCTACATTTTTATTACCCACTGTTCTGCCTGCAGGATGCTAGCACTATGTTTAAATTTCAAAGACTGATGGTACTGTAAGAAATAGCATGGATATGAACATGTAAAGTTTGTATAAAATGACAAAACTCTAGTTTGCGTTATTGCTGTTATATCCAAAAAGAATTCCTTCTCATAAAAGTGGTACAAGTCCATTCACAACAGAATACAACTGTAAATGGTATAATAGCTCAATTTAGTTACATTTGCTTTTCCCCTTTATAAAAGGTTTATGAATTGTAACTAATGGCTGTAATAATGGTTAATAATTAATTTAATAAAGCTTTATAGATCGTATAAGCTATTAACAAGAACAACTTTTTGGTTTTGAGGGTGTGAAAAATCCCTTTGAGTCTTTGGACAATTTGATCACTTACTTGAACCAAAACCTATTTATCATTAACAACTTATTGACATTTATAACTTCAGATGGTTTATTAGAAAGTAGAGAAACCCATGAGAACTTACCAATAATTATACAGTGGTGGGAAAAGTACTTTTATGTAAGTAAAAGTAACAAGACCACAATGTCAAAGCATTTTTAAAACCCCTGCATTCAAAATCTGAAGTCAAAGTACAAATGTATAAGCTTCTAAATATACTTAAAGTACTAAAAGTATTTATTATGCAGAATGACACATTTCAGAATGTATATTATATGATTGGATTATAATTAGTAATAATGCATTAAAGCATAATGTTGCAGCTGGTAAAGGAGGGGCTAATTTCCACTACCTTGTAACCTGCTGTTTAGCTTAGTCTATAATAACGTCAGAATTTATTAGTTGATTTATATTTTATAATAATAATAATCAGAATCTACAATGTAACGAGAACTAGAGTTACAATAAATGAATTGGAGTAAAAAATTAAGTAGCTACTTGCCTCCAAAATGTCATAGGAGTATTAAGTAGCTTAAAATGGAAATACTCGAATATCATATTCTTAGTTACATTGCACAGCATTTATATGTGCATTATTTCAGAATATAAATAAACACCAGAGAAATAAACACCAACCAGAGATACCTGAAAACCTAAAATAAGTTTTTATTAATAGCTTATGCCTGCTCTATAAAGTATTAGTAAATATTTATTAACCATTAATAACACATTAGTGACATCTCTCTATAACTGGTGCCTTATTACAAAGTTGTACCTATCTATTCAGTAATGTCAGATATCTTATCAAAGAGAGGGGGAGTTTGGTATTTCACCTTTTTCCATTTCAAAATCTGTTCCAGCAACTTTTACAGAGAAAATGTTTACCAGCAGAATGAGCCCCGCTGGCTGGTTTCTTCTATAATTTATGAAGTCAACAAAAAACCCCAGTGTTGGACAAAAACTATGCTTACTATTTCAGATCAGTGATGTTTATCGCTATAACACGACAGCGCAGCCATAGGCTGCAGGTACACTATTCACCCCACATCCACAACAGACACAAAGACAAACAGTACACCATGCAAGGATGCATGCGCAAACACAAACATCAGTTTGTAAACACTCACACTGCATTGCTGTGTAGCTACAGGCTTGACCTGCATAAAACTGGATCTCATCTCCAAAAAGGGTAAAAAGTAGAGTGGCCTCAGGTAAACACCAACAACAGTAAAATCCAGCAGTAGGAGGGAAGGAGGGAAGGAGGGAAGTTACAGCTTCTTGCTCCACAAACAGCACAACCCCTGCACAGGCCCAGAGTCAATGTAAAATCCAATTAAAGAGGTGTACTCTCAATGGAAAGCCTGTCAAAATCAATGTCTTCTGCAGAGTTTAAATCTCCGATAGGTACAACAGATAAAAACAAACAGCCTTCTTCCTTATCTGAATTTACAGACTGGGTGAGCAGCCTTCTTACAGGAGTCCTGGGTCTTGTTAGACAGACAGTGTGTGAGCTAAGGTGGTGAGCGGCTGTGTGTGACTTGCAGAGAGAGTCTCTCCTCTCTGCCCACCACCCACTGAAAAACAGGGAGGAGGGAAAAAGAAGCTCAGGGAAAGTCCCAGTGACGTATCCCTCTACATCCTCCCATCATCCTTCTGCTGTGTTTCTCTACATCTCTTTCCATTTTTACCTCCTCTTCCTCCTCCCTTTCCTCATGACTACCTCCCCTCCTGTCCTCTTCTGACATGGCTTCCCTGTCTTTATCTCTCCATCTACACCTCCACCCTTCCTCCACCTTCCCTGCTTGTATCTAGTACATGTGGCAGGGGTGCTTATATGATCTTGCTTAATTACCACTAGTCTGGCAGTTCTGCAAACCTACAGTTGTCAACAATTTTTCTAGAACCCATGGGCAACACACTCAGCTTTTTTTGTCATCCTTCTCTCTTGTAGCTCAAACTCTTTCTCCCTTTCTTTCTCTCTGTGACTATCCTCTCTAAATCTGTTCATTCCTGACAGTCTCTCTTTTAATTGACTCCAGTCTTGTGTTTGATTCATTCTTCCTCTCTCTTTCTCCGCCCTCGCACTGTCATCTCCATCATTGTTTCTTTCGTTCACCCTCCCTTCCCTCATCTCATCATTCACACCATCCACTATTCTGTTTCATCGTCATCTTTCTCCTTAACTGTCTCCTCATCCGGTCGCATGGCTTCCCCCTCTTTCTATATTCTCTTTTTTCCTAACTTCTTCTTTTTCTTTTCTGTCTAATTCTCTCTGTATCTCTCCCTCACTCCCTGCAAAAGCATCAAGGGACAGTGTGGGTGGCTGCAGGAGACTCAGATAGGGCAAGTCTGCTCATGCTATCTGAATCTGCTCCCAATTCAAAGACTCATTTTCCTTGTCGGTTTGACATGATAAACTTCTAGGGCTTGTCCTCCTTCACCAGCCATCCTCTTCATCCCCTGTCATCATCACAACCATCTTATCTCGTCTCTTTGTCGAAGCACCATCTGAGAAGTGGGTGATGGAGTGGCTGTATGAGACTCTCGAAAACAAGGGCGTAGGTTTGGTCTCAAATTGGCAGGGACACAAAAACCCCACCACCTCTCCAAAATAAAGAGATTGGCTTTTAATGCTGTCAATCAA